AATGTTATTCTAAATTAATTGAATTTATGTGAAAATTTTATTATTTATGAAAATAATTGAATAGTTGCTAAGAATTTCATTAAAATTTTCAAAAATAATTAAATTCCTGACAAGAATTTTATTATTTATGAAAATAATTGAATTTCAGGAAAAAATTTTGTTATACTTTTGAAAATATTTGAATTCTTCATAAGAATTATATAAACATTGATTTGAATAATTAATTTTTTCGAAGTATGAAAAAAAAGTGACAGTGGTGACTGAATTATTTTAAAATTAGAAAATATTGAAAATTGGTTAAATTTATTCTTAAAACAATTTTATTATTTATAAAATGTTATTAAAAATTATCCAAATTTAATATTTTAAATAAATGTTATTAAATATTTCATAAAACTTTGATATTTCACTGGATTGAATAAATTTTCTGTGTTTTTCATTTCATTTTGTGCAGAAACAGCATAAGTCCAAATGTTAATTTATTTTTTAATTTTTTATGTTAAGTAGATAATTAATTAATTATATTGGATTTTTTAACTTACAGGTTCTAATCTAATCTAATCTAATACCGAGATCGAGCTGGATTTTCCTCAAGAGGGGAAAGTAAGCACCTAGGTTATAGAACCCATTGTACCAGACTCCAGCTCGCTCGTTTATAGCAACCCCTTAGAGTCCTGTTCTTCTCCAGAAGTCCAGTATCTCTTCTATCGATAGGTTGCTCACCTGCTTAGGGTCAATAATTGCTTGACCCCAGCTAGATAGCCTGATCCTAGCTAACGCTGGGCATTCAGATAATATGTGAGTTGAAGTTTCGTTACTTTCCCCACACAGTCTGCACATAGGTGAAACTTGTCTGCCTATTTTATGCTGATGGTAGTTCAATAGTCCATGACCCGTAAGTAGACGAACTACGGTTCTAACTCTGATCTTATCGAGTTTTAGGAGATCGCTCGCTCGCCTCTTGTTGAGTGCTAACCCCAACAGAGTTTTCGCTTGCCTTCCCACCCCAACGTTCGCCCAATACTTCTCATGTTCCTTTTCACCCCATCTTTCTATGGCTCCCTTAACCAAGCATGGCATTATTGCTACTGCTGGTTCAGGACCTATAAATTTCGTCTCGGAACCGGTTTTCGCCAAGACGTCTACTCTTTCATTACCCTTGATTCCCGAGTGACCCGGTACCCAAATCAATGAAAGTTTATTTGTTGAACCCAACTCATCTAGTACGCTGCGGCATTCCCAGACGAGTTTTGATTCTATTGTGGGATTTTTCAGAGCCCCTAAGGCCGCTTGACTGTCCACACAAATACTAATCCTCTTGCCCTTTGTTCCATTTCGAATGGATATTTGGGCGCAAGTTAAAATCGCACAGACCTCTGCCTGCCAGACCGTGTCATGTTGTCCTAATGACTCAGCCACTTTAATGCAGCCAGTTTTCCGATAAATTCCGAAGCCTGCACCGCAGTCCATCTTGGAGCCGTCTGTATACCAGACTTCGTCCCCAAGTGGAAAACCTTTCTTCCAGTCCATTCTGGAAGGTGTAATGATCTTAAAGCGGGGTTTAAATTTCACCCTCTTGATCATTCTATCTTGCACCATACTTAATTCTGGTATTGATAGAATTGAGCGTGGAAGCTTGGTGTGTATACCACCAACCTTCCACCTTCCCTGCGCAGTTAACCTGCTCATAGTAAGAGCCGCCTTTTTCACCGCGGCAATATGCAGAGGTGCCTCGGCAAGCATGAATCCCAACGCAGCTGTTGGCGTGGTCCTCATTGCCCCCGTAATACCCCTGAAAATCATTGCTTGCAGTTGGCCCAGTTTCTCTTTAACCGTTATCAGTTGAGTCCTGGACCACCAGACAACCACCGCGTGAAGAAACCTTGGTTTTAAGATCATCTGATAGAGCCAGTTGACCATATTAGGCCTTAGTCCCCATGATGACCCTATCGCCCTTCTACACGCCCAAAACGCGGTACAAAACCTGCTATACTGATATTCGAAATGTTCCCTCCAAACCAGCTTTTTATCCAGGATTACTCCCAGATACTTAGCCGATTCAGAAAAGGAAATCTCTTTTCCATAAAATATCGGTTTCTTCAAACTCGGTACCTTATATTTTCTTGTGAAAACTACTATATTCGTTTTCTCTGGGTTTACAGAAAGTCCAGTCAGATTGCACCAATCCTTGACAATCTTAAGCGCACGTTCCGTAAGTTCTAAGAGGGTCTCAATTGAGTGCCCTCTTATAATTATAAGGAAATCATCCGCATAACTTTGCGTATAATATCCCTGGCTATTGAGGTTTCTAATTAACTCATCTGCCACTAAGCACCACAATAAAGGAGAGAGAACTCCTCCCTGTGGGCACCCTTTTGAGACAAGGCCGGTTACCTTGGCCTCACCATACTCTGCCTCCAGGGCCCTTTCGCGAAGCATGCTGTCGATCCACTTAACTAGCGGCTCGGGCACACCTCGCATTCTGGCTGCCCTGCAGATAGTTTTGCTAGAGGTGTTAGGGAAGGCACCTTCGATATCAAGAAAGGTACCAACCGCATAACCACCACTGCTAATTTGTCCCTCTATTCTACCTACTGCCGAATGGAGGGCTGTTTCTACTGAGAAGCCTGCTCTATATGCATGCTGTCCCTGATGTAGGGGAAAATCTCTAAGACATTCCTGTCTAATAAACTTATCCACCAGTTTCTCTAACGTCTTTAATATAAAGGAAGTTAGGCTGATTGGCCTGAAGTCCTTCGCCGCAGTATAGCCTGACCGACCGGCCTTCGGAATAAACACAACCCTCGTCTTTTTCCAAGACTCCGGTGTATAACCAAGAGCTATACATGCTCTCATAATTTTACACAGGGGTACTCTAATACAATCCAATCCCTTTTGCAAAAGAACCGGATATATACCGTCCCCCCCTGAAGCCTTAAATGGTTTGAAAGTGCTTATTGCCCAATCAATCCCTTCCGGAGTTACAACCCTGGCTGCTAGTTTCCAGTGTTCCCGATATCCTCGGTTCCTACCTGGTCCTATGCCCTGGCTGTTCTCCAAACCTTCTCTAAAGTCCGGGAAGTTTACTTCCATCAGGTGCTTTAGACACTCCCTTTTATCCTGGGCATACTGCCCATTAGGCAGCTTAATAGTAGTTAATTTTGCCATTGGGTCTCGAGCTAGTACTTTATGAAGTCTTGAAGCTTCTGGTACCCTCTCGATTCCCTCGCAAAAACTTCTCCAGCTGACACCCCTTGCCCTATCTACTTCTTTCTTATAAGAATCGCGAGCGGTATGATATTCATCCCATGCTCGCTGATGCCTACGTTTCTTGGCTTTATTAAAAAGCTTTCTTACAGTTTTCCTATGTTCCTCCAAACGGGGGGTCCACCATTTTCCGCCCCCATTGAAGCCCATTTTCTTAACTACACAGTTCCTTTCAAAGGAACAGATAATAGAATCTCGCAGATATTCCGCTGCAAGCTCTAACTCCTCCATCGTTCCATAGGAAGTGGGGAAGCATGCCATGGAGGCCTTGAGGTCTTCACTATATGAAGCCCAGTCGGTACTCCTAGGATTACGTCCCCACTCCTGTTCCCGATCCTTCGATTCCAATCTAAACGTAATAAGCCTGTGGTCCGAGAGGGAATCTTCATCAGACACCCTCCAGTCCCTCACGCCATCACAAAAAGACTTGGAACAGATCGTAATATCCAACACCTCTTTTCTGTTAACAGTAACGAAAGTCGGCTCATTACCCTGATTTAAAATATCTAAATCTGTATCTAACAGAAAATCTAAAAGTCTTCTGCCTCTATCGTTAATGTCAGTGCTGCCCCATACGACATGGTGCGCATTGGCATCACAACCTATTATTAATGGGAGACCTTGCCGTTGACAGTAATCTACCAACTTCTCCACCTCTGCAGGTGGTGCGGGGTCATCCCCCGATCCCGGAAAATATGCGGAAGCTACTACAACCTCCCTTTTATTTCCGTTCTTTTCTAGGTACTTAGCCTTAACAACAACTAAGTCCCTGGTAGTTAATTCCAATAGAGGGAAAGCATCTAGACCTTTATAGATCAGACAAGCCCTTGGAACTGGTTCCTGTGGTGAACTGACTAGCACCCCACCGCCACTTAGACCTCTGATCTTACCCTTGTAAACCCAAGGTTCTTGAACAAAGGCTATAGCTGCCTGCATCCTTGCAAAGTTCTTGGCTAAAATCGCCGAAGCGCCCTTACAATGATGCAAGTTAATCTGCATACAGTGGATCCCGGAAGCAGCCATATTTAAGACTGACTCACGGTCCCCTCTGTCGCGTCCACACCTTGATCGCCAGCATCGTGATCCCCCAAAAGGGCTCTTCGACGCTCACGTGTGTGGTTTTATTTTTATTAGTTTCTGTAGTATCCATTATGGTCCCACGAGAAAAGAGGAAAGAAAGGTCATTCCTTAAAGAGCCTCTATTTAAGGAAAAGGCTAAATTACATCTGAAAGTTCGCCTGGTATCTCAGAGTCTCGTTCAAGATACCTCCATTCAAGCCCCACCCCGGGGACGGGTCGTCCAGAAGACGGGCCCTTCCTGTAACACAACCGTTCCCGAGCTTTACGGTTTACGGTTAATAACTTACAGGTTAGTAGAATATAATGCAAAAAGCCGAATTAAAAAAAATCTTAACATTTACGAGAAAAACAGTTTTTATTGATTCCTGAACAATTTCAAATTATGGACTTATGCTGTTTCTGCACAAAACGCTTCAATTGAATTTCGAATATTTTTTGAAAATAATTGAATTTGGAATATTTTTTGAAAATAATTGAATCGTTTTAAAGAATTTGATTATAATTTTTGAGAATAGTTTTTTGATTTCTAGTATTAGCGAATTTAAAGTAGTGGAAATTCTTTAATAAATTAGTAATAGTAGATTTTAGTAAATAAGTGCGAAGCCTGTGTCAATAGGACGAATTATTTCCAATCAATTTTATTTCTTTCGCAGTTTCACTTGTATAAAGAACAGTTTTATTATGGCTTGTTGTGTCCCAGGATGCAAAACATCTTATAAGGATCGAACGTCAAATAAATTGTCGTTATTTACTCCTACTATCGTAAGTAGAATGTAATCTGTCAAAAATTCAATATTATTATCTGCATAATTGTAACGTGAACATTTTTTATTATAGGAAGCGCAAAAGAAAGAATGGGAAAGAATATTAGGGGAAAAAACCACTCGAAAAGAATGGAAAAATAGTTATAAAATTTGTGAACTGCATTTTTCTGAAAACCTTATTGAGAGAGAGCGTAATATTTTTAAAAGAAATGGAATTGTTTTGAAGGAAGTGAGGAAAAGGCCTATTTTATCCACAAACGCAGTACCTTCAATTTTTCCGGATACCATGATGCAAAAAGAGTCAAAAGTTCGGTTAAATGATTATTGCGTAAAAATGTCGCACGACGTTTTTCTTGAAAGTATAAAAAATAGTTCAACAGAAAGTGTATTTTGCGATAAAACGAACAATCAGTCATTGAATCATTCACATTCGAAGAAAAATGATAAAGTTTTAAAAAGAAAATTAAATGATGAAACGGAAAATTGTACAATCGTTAAAGAAAGAAAAATTGGCAATTTGTTTGAAGAGGTATTCAGAGAGTTAAAAGAAAATTCCACCATTTTCGAAAATTTCAGAAGCAATCTTTGGTTTACTAATTACATTGAAGCAGAATTGGTTTCATTTAATATGTGGAAAGAAGACTTTTCTGGGATATTGAAGAACATTGTTCTTCACAAGGATTCAAAAGTTCTTGTTTGTATTTAAGTACAATGTATACTTAATTTAAAAATTTGCTTGTAGTAATAAAACAAGAAAATAATGAAACATTTTTTATATTAGGTTCACATAAATGGAAAAACTATTCATTTGCCAGAAATGGAGAATCTTTCAGAAATGAGTAGTTTTCAAAAGTTATTAAAGAAAGTTGTCCAAATTAATCCATGTTCAGGTATTCAGGAGGAAATTGGGTAAGAACAAAATTTCTACTTTATATATTACTGCTTATTATTAGCAATTAATCCTTTAAAAACTATTAAAATTTTTTGTAGAGATAACTGTGTTGGATATGTGGAAAGAAATAAAATGGGTCGTCCAGCATTGCGGTGTGAGCCATGTTTAAAAGAGCACGCGAATGCTATTCGCAGGATTCCCGAAAAATGGAAAGCTATGAAATCAAAAAAATTATAATTATGAAAAATCGTTGCAACAATACGCATCGAAGCAATAATTTATTGCGACAAAAAGAGAACATATTGTTCTTTCCTTAAAAAAGAATCACTAATTATACTATTTTTTGTAACCAAGATTTTATATATTAATCTTAATTTATTTTGTTTTGTAGACAGTAAATAAATACACTTTATTTTAAAATAAATAATATGCTACTGTTTAAATCTGTTATGGACACTTTAATCTTTAATTTCTAAATTAATTCTGAGTCTTGTATTTGAATTTTTTTATTCAAAATTTCACCATAAAAAATATTTATTCAAAATCTTTTATCAACGTCGAATAGTACATGTGTCTGAGTACTTGTTAAAATTTTTTCATAAAAAAATATTAAGGGGTCTTGTAACTTTTTTAGGTATTAAAATCTGAAGTTTTTAAAAAATTTTTTGCTCATAAGATTTAAAATATAATTGATTAAAAGTTTTTACATATCATTGTGTATGTTAAGAAGTCTTAAAAAAATGATTTTACATTTGAAAAAACATAAGTATCTTCATTCTACAGAGGGCGCTTTGGCCACTGGTAAAAATTATTGGTTGTCATTGTAGCTCATAGCAGAATCGTCTAAAATCAAAAAATCAAATTTTATTTCAAAATGGACGACTTAATACAGGACCTAAACCTCTTATTTACTACTAATGTTCAAAATTACACTTTTTGTGTATCATTTATGTTTAAAAAAATTGTGTTTTTTCAGATTCTTAGATTCAAAAGCTTGCCATTTTCTTAATTTTTGATATTTTTAAGTATTTCGAGGTTTAGGTCCTGTATTAAGTCATCTATTTTGAAATTATGTTTGATTTTTTTATTTTAGATGATTCTGCTATGAGCTACAGTGACAACCGTAATTGAAAGTAATTTTTACCAGTAGAAGCGCCCTCTGTAGAAGGAAGGTATATATATTTTTTCCAATCTGAAATCCTTTTTTTAAAACTTCTTAACATACACAATGACATGTAAAAACTTTCGATCAATTACATTTGAAAACTTATGAGCAAAAAATTTTTTAAAATTGTCCGATTTTAGTGCTAAAAAAGTTACAAGACCCCTTAAATAATAAAAAAGGTATAGACAAATTCCAGGAACGTCTTTTTTCGACGTGACATTTAAAAAAGTATAACGAATTTTATTATACATGAAAGAATTTAAATATTTATGAAAATAATTTATTTCTTGCGAAGAATTTTATAAAAATCTTTAAATAATTGATTTCTATCGACTAATTTTATGGAAATTCTAATTTAAATAATTCAATTCCTGAGAAATTTTTATTATTCATATCATGAAAAGAATTGAATTCTTACGATAAGATTTTTACAAAATTTTTTTTAAATAATTGAATTCTGTTTAGAAATTTTATGAAAATAGTAGATATTGAATATTTTCAATATATATATATTGAATTGCGAAAAGTTTTTAAAAATAATTAAATTTTACAAAGAATTCTTTAAAAAAATTTGACAATAGTTGAATGTCTGTGTGGAATATTAATTAATTCTTTTTGAAAATAATTGAATTCCTAAAAAGCATTTTATTATTTATTAGGGTTGCCACCTCATCGCGGCTCTCGGCCCGGAGAATTTTTCTTGGCTACACGGAGAGACCCACATTCGTAAAAATTACTAAAAACGGTTGCAATGACCGGAAATAAGGGGACTTTTAGCATAATGTACTACAGAATTAGATAAATTTACAAAAGAAATAGATAAATTTGCTACATTGAAATAGCAAGTTTTAATATTTTGTGTAAGAGTTGTAAATGTAGCGAAAATTGATTATAGTTTTCTCTAATTTAATTAGACAAAATCTGACAAATGAAAACATTTTCCACTAAAATCTTCTATCCACTGTAGTAATTTTTGGTGAGCAAGTGTGGCTAGCGAGTGCAGTCATATGGCGCCTGTATTTCTATTGGTTGCTAACCTCGTCAATCTCCGTAAATGAGCCGATGCCTTCCGATCATTGACAGTGACTATGTTTCGCGTATGTAAAATAAATTTGGATATTATCTACAATAATTAAATATAAAGTGAAACGTAGGTCGTTCGGTATCTCAGAAATTGACCATTATAAATTAATAAATTTTGCATTTATTCCTGTCCCAAGAAGTATGTCTTATAATAAGTTGTTAAAAGTAAACTGCTTTCTCGTAAGTGCTGTAAATTTTCATCATTCAATATATAAGGAAACAAAGATGTATACTTTCAGTGAAATTCGTTGTCGTGCGTGCAGTTGTGTATTAGTGTATTAATTAACCGCGTCTATACATATAAGTGAAATAAACATGTGTGTGTCTTCAAATATTTATCCAACAACAAATATATAAGTGTGTGAGTGTGTGTGTCTGTGTATGTAAAAATCCTTCCAGTTTACCTCCACTAGTCAAGAATTGACGGGAAACCGGCGACAAAAATCCGTATTTTTTCCTTTCACTCTTTCTTTCTGCATTTACAACGACTATAGTAATTTTACGTACACAATGTTTCTGAGTTTTACTACAGTTGTTTGGAACTATTGGACGAAATAGTAAGAAACTTTGCTAATTTGGTGAACATTTGTCGGGATTAGTGACTTAGTGTAGAAAATAGTAAAAAATACAAAAAGTCCCCTTATTTCCGGTGGTTGCAATGTGAATATAGTAAATTCTAGTGTGATTTTATACAAAAATTAGTAATCTCGGTCTCTCCGTGTATAAGGTGTAAATGCTCCCTAAAGCTTCTACCATTCAATAAAGAATAGGGAGAAAAGTTACTAATTCAGTCATGATGTGTTATTGTTTCAATCGTTCCCGGTTATTTTTCCGAAAAAAATTTTCCGCAAGTCTAATTTTCCGAAAAGATAATTATCCGAAAAAAAATTTCCGAATCTAAATTTACGAAATAATTTTTCCGAAAATTAATAATTCCGAAAATTCAAATTACTTTGTTGTTTTTGTTAATCAAAAAGAGTGCTGAGAAACTGTGAACAAGTTGAAATTATTATTTCTTTTATACAAAAACCTACTATGCAGACCTTCAGAAAAAATATTGAATTGACATTAAAGAATATTATTATTATTGTATATATTTAAAACTTACAAAAATTGTTTATTTAGTCATTTTGCATATGATCAAAATTTTCTTTATATTAAAAGGTTAAACTTTTTCAAAACTGATTCGATTGGTATATATTGGTTAAGAAACCGATTTCAATCGTTTTTTTTCAATTTTTTTATTTAGCAAAATAATTTTCGGAAAATTTTTTTCGGAAAAATGACCGGGAATCTATTTCAATACTTAAAATTAAAAGTTTTTTTTGAAAATAACCGTAGACCGGAGGAATTTACTTGCGGCCCGGAGACCCGGAGATTTACTTCGCAGCCCGGAGTCTCCGGGCGAGGACCGAAGAGGTGGCAACTCTATTATTTATGTAAAATAATAGAATTTTTGCGAACGATTTTATTAGATTTTTTAAAAATAATTGAATTTTAAAGAAGAAATTTATTACTTTTAAAAATAATTGAAATAAATTTATTAAAATGCTTCAAAATAATTGAATTTTCGTGAATAATTTTGTTATTTATAAAGATATTGAATTCGAATTATTGGAATTTTTTTAAATAATTGAATTTCTAAAATGAAATTTATTACTTTTAAAAATAATTGAATTGTTATCATGAATTTTGTTCAGTGGCGGATCCAGGGGGAGGGTCATGGGGGTCATGACCCCCCCCTGGGACGACAAATTTACATAAAAAAAAAAAAAAGGTCAGCTAATTATGGTCGTTGCTCGCCGAATCTATAAATGACCCCCCCCTGGAGTAAATTCTGGATCCGCCACTGATTTTGTTATTCATGAAAGCAATTGAAATTTGCAAAGAATTTTATTAAAATACCTAAAAATAATTGAGTTTTCCGAAATAATTTTGTTATTTATCCGAAATAATTGAATTCTTCGAAGAATTACACAGGCCAACAAAATTTGATTCAATTTACTTTCCAAGAATCAGACAATACTTTTCCGAAGGATTTCGACGTGCTAAATCCGAATCTGGCCTCAAAATGGACCCATCACGTCAGGTTTTCGAGATATTTTAACCTAAAAGTGCAAAAAACCTGTTTTTAGTTATGAGATAATTTTCTATTTAAAAAGTCAATATTGCGTCTAAAAGTGCTACTCTTCCCCTTTAATATCCATTTTGAAAATTTAAAAAATCTTCATTTGTCTCTGAGTAATCGTTCATTGAATTTTTTGAGTTTGGCGAATTCGAATAATTGAATTCTTGGAAAGAATTTTATTGAAATCTAGAAGAATAATTGAATTATTTCAAAAAATATAATTAAAATTTTTTGAAAGTAATTGATTTCTTTCAAACAATTTTATTAAAATATTTGAAAATAATTGAATTCCTGTGAAAAATTCTAATATTTTTGTAAATAATTGAATTCTTCAAAAAAATTTAAGAAAAGCCTTTTTTACTTCCTGTAAAATTGTATTAAAAATAATTGAAATCCTGCGATGAATTTTATTATTCATGAAAAAATTGAATTTCTGAGAAGAATTTTATTAAGTATTTATGAAAATAATTTAATTATTGTGAAAAAGTTTATCAAAATGTTAAAAAAGAATTGAATTTTCAAGAAAAAATGTATTACTTTTAAAAATAATAATTGAATTCTTGTTATAAATATTGTTATTTATGAAAATAATTGAATTCTTCGGAAGAATTCTATTAATCTAAATACATAATTGAATTATTTATCAAAAGAATTAAATTAAAATTGAAGCGTTTTGTGCAGAAACAGCATAAGTCCATAATTCGAAATTGTTCAGGAATCAATAAAAACTGTTTTTCTTGGAAATTTTAAGATTTTTTTTATTCTGCTTTTTGCATTACATTCTACTAACCTATAAGTTAAAAAATCCAAAGTGATTAATTAATTATGTACTTAATATAAAAAATAAAAAAATAAATTAACATTTGGACTTATGCTGTTTCTGCACAAAATGAAATGAAAAACACAGAAAATTTATTGAATCGAGTAAAATATCAAAGTTTTATTAAATATTTAATAATATTTATTTAAAATATTAAATTTGGATAATTTTTAATAACATTTTATAAATAATAAAATTGTTTCAAGAATAAATTTAACCAATTTTCAATATTTTCTAATTTTTTAAAATTTCAGTCACCACTATCACTTTTTGCTTCCTTTGAGTGTTTTTTATTTATAATATAAACTATTTAATATAAATTATTAAAATACGTGAAGAATATCACAAATAAATAAAAAAATTATCATGGACTTGTACTGTTTCTGTACGAAATGATATTTTAATTTTTTTTTTAAGGGTTTATAGTTTAGTCACTTATGTAATATTTTACCAGATTGAAAAGCTTCATTTAAAGATAAATTTTCATTAAAAAAGTGATTTTCGAAAAAAAATGGACTTATGCTGTTTCTGCACAAAACGCTTCAATTGTATTTAAAATAATTGATTTCTGACGAACAATTTTATTAAAATATTTGAAAAATAATTGAATTCCTGTAAAAAAATCTAATATTTTTGTAAATAATTGAATTCTTGTAAAGAATTTAAAGAAAATATTTTTTTAAATAATTTTTTTTTTGAGAAATTGAAATTAAATTTTTAAGAATAATTACATTTATCAAGCAATTTCTGTAAAATGAATTAAAAATAATTGAAATCCTGTGATAAATTTTATTATTTATGAAAATAATTGAATAGTTGCTAAAATTTTTATTAAAATTTACAAAAAATAATTGAATTGCTGTGGAAAATGTTATTATTTATGAAAATAGTTGAATTATTGTGAAAAATTTTATTAAATTGTTTAAAAATATTTGAATTTCTGTGAAATTTTTTTTGTTATTCTTGAAAATAATTGAATTCTTCATAAGGATTTTTTAAACATTGTTTTAATTAATTCATTTTCTCGAAATATAATAAATAGTATGAAAATTTTATTTTTATTAATTGGATTCTTATGTGGAAAACTTTATTTTTGAAAATAATTGAATTTTTCAATTAATTAATTTAAAATACATAGTATTAAAAATATTTGAAGTTTTTCGATGAGTTTTATTATATTTATAAAAATAATTGAATTCGATCTTGCTTAAAATTTTATATCAACAATTTTTTTAAAAAATTGAATTAACATGAAAAATGTTTTTATTAATGAAAGTAAATGAATTATTGTGAAGAATTGTATAAAAATTTTGATAAATTATTGATTTTTTCGAAATTCTTTTGAAAATGCTATTCTAAATCAATTGAATTCCTGTGGAAATTTTATTATTTATGAAAATAATTGAATTTTGGATGAATTTTATCAATTTTTTTTCTGTTGATACTTATTGTTAATTGAATATTCTTTTGTGAAGAATATGCTGGCAGCCGAGCTGTGACCGTACCATAAAGGCGCACTCACAGCTAGTAGGCAGCAATACAAATTTGACTTTACTGTCTCTTTCACTCTAATTGACTTTCTCTCTTACTCCAATTACTGCCTGCGCAGGCAGGCAGAGTTGTGAGTGCTCCATAATAATTCTCAACTGCGATTCCGTTTGCGTTTTTGATTATGGCAGAGTTTACATTTAGTCATTGTCACACGTCAGCACGTTCCTGCTGCGATTTTATTGTAGAGTTAGCTTAAAACCGCCGTCGATATTCGATAGTTTTCGAGATTCTTCCACATGTCCTTCTCTTTAAAAAAGTAGAATCGAGACGCATGATTTTCCCCTAAACGCCAAGTGGTCGAATGTTCAAATGGTCGAATACCAAGTAGTCGAATCGTTAACTGGTCGAATGCTAGAAACATCGAATAGTCAAAACGTCGAATGTTCAAAACATCGACTCATCAATTGATCGAATGTTCAAAACGTCGAATCGTCATTTGGTCGAATGCTAAAAACGTCGAATCGTCAAATGGTCGAATGCTCAATACGTCGAATGCTCAAATGGTCGAATGCTCAAAAGGTCGAATGCTCAAATGGTCGAATGCTAAAAACATCGAATTCTCAAATAGTCGAATGTTCAAAACGTCGAATCGTCAAATGGTCGAATGCTAAAAACATCGAATTCTCAAATGGTCGAATGTTCAAAACGTCGAATCGTCATTTGGTCGAATGCTAAAAACGTCGAATCTTCAAATAGTCGAATGTTCAAAACATCGAATCGTCAAATGGTCGAATGCTCAAAAGGTCGAATGCTCAAATGGTCGAATGCTAAAAACGTCGAATCGTCAAATGGTCGAATACTCAAAAGGTCGAATCGTCAAATAGTCGAATGCTAAAAGCGTCGAATTCTCAAATAGTCGAATGTTCAAAACATCGAATCGTCAAATGGTCGAATGCTCAAAAGGTCGAATGCTCAAATGGTCGAATGCTAAAAACGTCGAATCGTCAAATGGTCGAATGCTCAAAACGTCGAATCGTCAAAAATTCGAAAAATTTGCTTGGTTTAAGTTAATGTTGACTTAAACCAAGCAAATTTTTCGAATTTTTGATGATTCGACGTTTTGAGCATTCGACCATTTGAGAATTCGACGTTTTGAGCATTCGACCATTTGAGGATTCGACGTTTTGAGCATTCGACCATTTGAGAATTCGACGTTTTGAACATTCGACCATTTGAGAATTCGACGCTTTTAGCATTCGACTATTTGACGATTCGACCTTTTGAGTATTCGACCATTTGACGATTCGACCTTTTGAACATTCGACTATTTGACGATTCGACGTTTTTAGCATTCGACTAAATGACGATTCGACGTTTTGAACATTCGACCATTTGAGAATTCGATGTTTTTAGCATTCGACCATTTGACGATTCGACCTTTTGAGCATTCGACCATTTGACGATTCGATGTTTTTAGCATTCGACCATTTGAGAATTCGACGTTTTGATCATTCGACAAATTGACGATTCGATATTTTGAACATTCGACGTTTTTAGCATTCGATGTTTTTAGCATTCGACCAGTTAACGATTCGACTACTTGGTATTCGACCATTTGAACATTCGACCATTTGTCGTTTAGGGGAAAATCATGCGTCTCGTAGAATCAGTAGAATGTTTATCAACATATGGGCAATTCCACGTGAGATTTCAGTCGACCTCTTAAAATCGGCCAAAAATATTTTTTTTCTATTCTGTATTGAAAAAAAACAGATACGTATTTTTTTATTATTTTTTTGGAGGCCAAATTTTTGAGTTATGAATTTTCAAAATTTTCGCTTTTTAAATGTAGGTATATTTTTAATGTCAGATAACTAAAAAAATATTGCTTCTTTTCATTTTTTGACAAGAGAAAAAAAGTTTTGTTTTTCTCTCTACTTTTGAATAATCATAACAAAAAAATTTTTTTTTCATTTTTTATTAAAAAAATAAAAAAATTTTATAAACAAATTAATTTTTTTTAACTTTGGGTATAATAAATTTTTAATTTTCTTTTTTTAAAACATACCTGGAAATGATTAGAAGGTTTTGCAAAAAGTTTCAGAGTGGGCCTGACAAGTTTGATGGGTCCAAAAAAATAATTAAGCTGTCCGTGCAGGTCGCACGCACGTGGCACAATGGGATTTTTTTACAATTTATTATTAAAAATTGTTTAGAGCCTAAAAATTCAATAATAATCAAAATCCGATAAAATTTGTAGGCTCTAGACAATTTTTAATAATAAATTGTAAAAAAATCCCATTGTGCCACGTGCGTGCGACCTGCACGGACAGCTTAATTTTTTTTTTGGACCCATCAAACTTGTCAGGCCCACTCTGAAACTTTTTGCAAAACCTTCTAATCATTTCCAGGTATGTTTTAAAAAAAAAAAATTAAAAATTTATCATACCCAAAGTTAAAAAAAATTAATTTGTTTATAAAATTTTTTTATTTTTTTAATAAAAAATGAAAAAAAAATTTTTTTGTTATGATTATTCAAAAGTAGAGAGAAAAACAAAACTTTTTTTCTCTTGTCAAAAAATGAAAAGAAGCAATATTTTTTTAGTTATCTGACATTAAAAATATACCTACATTTAAAAAGCGAAAATTTTGAAAATTCATAACTCAAAAATTTGGCCTCCAAAAAAATAATAAAAAAATACGCATCTGTTTTTTTTCAATACAGAATAGAAAAAAAATATTTTTGGCCGATTTTAAGAGGTCGACTGAAATCTCACGTGGAATTGCCCATATATAACCTGTAAAATCCTTTCAATTACTTTTTACAAAAACTGTATAAAAAATAGAACTAATGGGTTTTGTACGACTATTATTTCACAGTAAGAAAAATGTCATATGCAATTTAATACGCAAGAAAACGAATCATGCTTTTAGTGAGAAAATTAATAATTTAGAGGTTAAAAGTGTTAAAAATAAAGTTACAATTAGTAAAAAGACTATTGCAGCTTTGGAAAGAGTTTCTCTCGTTGATTTTGACAACGAAGGAGGCATTGAAGCCTTGGAGGCAGCAATTGATTTTGTAGAACCTTTGAAGCAATTGAAAATAGATTCATCCGTTGAGCCATTGTACAGTGTTCTTGAAAATGAAAGTCTCTATTTAAGAGAAGACATAAATTCCAATACTAATACTCGTGAGAAAATTCTAGCCCACGCTCAGCTTTTGGACGAAGAGTACTTTGTAGCGCCACCAGGTAATGTACCACGAAAAACATGAAACTTGAAACTGTACTGCAAAAATTAAGCACGTGTTTTTTAAAACTCGAATCCGGTTTTGAGTATGGTTCTCAAGGAAGATTACTGCTTCGCAACATTGAAAATCTCTGGTTTCATCAGTGCGTTACAACTTCACGGTATAATGTCTTTTTAACTGGGAGCGATAAATTTTCAAAAACAATTCAAGACTTGAAAGATGCGAATATTGATACTTTACCTTTTGGACTGGCTGCCGTTGAGAATTCCAAACTGTCCTGGAACGAGTCGCTAGTAAATTCGAAGAATAAAGCAATTGTACATAAAGTAGCAAAAGTTGTTACATTCTGCGATGGAACGAATGCTAAGGATTTATTTCACAAGAAGCAAAGGGAACGTAAAGCGTGGTGGAGGAAAATTGTTCAACAACCGTCGAGATTTTTCTTAACTGAAGCGAAGAAAGGAAAAAACAATGAATCAATAGACATAAGAGCAGAATTTCCCTTTGGAAATATAACAGTTGAAACTATAAATTATCAGCGAGATGTTCGAAAAATTTTTCTACAGGTAAATTTTTTTTAATTACTTTACCGAGTGAAAAATTGAAAATTAAACGCTGCCAAGTTACACGTTACTGATAATTTTACCCGATTTATTTTCAAAAATTACGACTTTTTCGACTTTTCTCCCAAATATTGCATTCAGTGTTCTATAAAAATTTTTGAAAATCAACTTTTGAAGAATATTAATTGCAAATTTTGAAACTAATTGATTTCTCAAAAATTTTAATGAAAAATCTTCAAGTGTAATTTTAAAAATATTTTTAAAAAAAATAATTCTTTGAATTTTTGCATTCTAATTTTTTAAAATTCAAATATTTTCAATATTTTCAAATACAAATTTCCAAAAATTCTAATAACTACAAAAAATAATAACATTACAATTTTTTACAATTATTTTTAACATTTTAACAACATAACAATCATGTTCAAAATTTTTAATCAAAATTCTTCAAAAAATTAGTTTTTTTTAAATTATACAAAAATTTTTTTAAAAGAAATTCAGTTCTTTTCGAAAAATTACATAACAATATTTTTAAAAAAACTTTTTCTTGTAATTTTTTTATCTTAATTTTGCAAGATTCAATTAACTTCAAACAAAGTAAATTAAAATTTTTGAAAATTTACTTTTTTAGATTTATGGAGATTTTGGAGAAATCATGTTTATATTAATAATTAAAATTCTTCAAAAATTCAATTTTTTTTAATAGAGTTTACCAAATTTCAATTGTTTGGAAATTTTTCAATTGCATATAATTGAAAAACTATGACCTTTCATAAATTATTTTTAAAATATTTAATATTTAAAAAGAATTAATTTTAAGAATTTCTTTATTATAATTTTTTGAAAATTAATAAATAACTTAAAAAATTATTATATAAAACAATTATTATAAAAAACTGAATTTTTGTATTTAAATAATTGAATTCGAGAAGAAGTTTGATTAAAAATTGTAGAAAATAATTGAATTTTAAGAGAAATTATAGTCGTAAATTTTAGATGTTATTAAATTTCAGAAGGTTTTAAATAGAAATTAAAAAAAAAATTTCCCGTATAAAAACAATCAAGAAATATTAAAATATTTATTTAACGAAATTATTCAAGTTTTGAATAATTGAATTTATAAATCAGTGAAAGATCAGAAAAATACAAAATAAAATTTTTGTGACCTGAAAAGTTTCTTTTACCATTTTCATAAATAATTAAATTTCTAAAAGGTTCAATTTCAAACTTTAGAATATTTATAAATTTCGAATGAATTTAATTAAAAATTTTGTTGAACTTTGTTTATTGAAAAATTTTAATTCAAATTCTTTTGAAATTAGTAGGATGTTTTACTGTATATTTAATTATTAAAAATAATTGATTTAAAGCAATTAAAAAAATTCCAGAAAATAAAATTGAAGTTTGAAAAGGTTTCATATTAAAATCTTTGAAAATCTGAATTTTTAATACTTTTAATTAACAATTCTGTAAAAACTATTTTTTTTTAAATCTAAATTCCAATTATTTTGAAATTAATTGAAGTTTTAATTTTCTAATACATATAAGTTATAATACTTATAAGTTATTGAATTTCAAAGGGTTCGAATTTGAAATTTTTGAAAATCTTAATTCCTATGGAAAAATAATAATTTCGAAATATCTTAGGTTCAGGGAAAAAATCAAAATTTTTCAACATAATACTTCGGCTACGATAAAAAGATTATTTTTTTAAAATGCATTTCTAGTTTATGTAAATTTCTTTATTTCTTAAAGTTACCCAAAAATATATTAATTTCAGGATAAAAATTGCAATGATAATGATAACGATATAAGTGCAGTTGAGCACGTCGCATCATTAGATTGGGGCTGCTTGGTTCTCCTTTGTGATTCATTCAAGGAAACAACTTCTTGTTCTGAACTACAGCTACAACCAAAAATTGCTCCTTACAAAGCAATTTGTAAGGTTAATTTAGAAGGCAATGAAAGTGAATCAATTGTTGAAGATTTAAATCAACTTGTGCTTTATATCAACAATTTATTAAGGAGCAGTGGATTAGGAACTGTTTTAATAAATGACAATTTATTTGAAAATATATCAAAGCATCTTCATGTACCATTTATCATAGGAGTAGACAAAGTTAGCTTGAAAAGTGGAATTGTTTCAGTTACTAGTCATGTCACTACTTTAGCTGAATCAGTTCATGTGTCACAATTGATTGATCACATAGCTTCAAATTGCAAATAGGTAAAATAAAGATAGTTCAAGAAGTAACAAATCAGTTTCCTTTTTTATTATGTAAAATCATTATAAAATTATCCTAATCAAAATTGTGTTTAAAAAATTATTACGAGTAGCAATTACATTGGAATTGGAATGTTTATGTTCTTTGATACGAACACCTACCATCCTCTTTGATTCTCCAACATAACATGCTGAGCAATCCTTACAATTAATTTTATAAATTGTATTGGTATTTTCAGATTTTACACTTTTATCCTTGTCCTTTTTAACAAAATTATGGTTCATGTTATTATTTTTGCAAGGAATGGATAAAATGCTATAATTTTTAAGAATTGAGGAGGTTTTCTCAAAACAGGTTCGGAACATATGGTAAGAAAACTTTTGTTGTCCTCGTGTAAAGTATGACATTTTTATCAATAGAGCGTTGAGAATTTGATTCTACAGAAGAAATACGTTTCATTATATACTTGTTTATAAATTCCAAAGGACAATTATTTTTTAATAAAATTCATTTAGTTAATTTTGCTTTACACTTGTTTTACAGCACAACGCATTTACAAGATTGGTGCATATTAAATTAATGTTTAATACTGCATTTGCAGCAACCTTAAATTCTTTCTGTGATAATTACATTTGATTAGTTTTGGTTATTTATTTGCCAATGAGAAAATTTTGAAGAATACTTGAAATTAGTGGACTAAATAATAGTAGGAATTTTGCGGAGTCTGTATTAATAAAGAAGACTATTAAATGCAAACTTTAATAGAATTGATTGTATTTTATTTTTTTATAAACATGAAGAGAGAAATGTGCGCACAAACACTTGTGTACATAATTCATGATTTGAGTTACATAACGTCTAGATCTTATAAATCACTCGCATACATTTTGTAATCACTGCATTTATGCAAGCTAAAATATAGCTGAGAATTTGTATTAACTTAAGGGGTTACATACCTTTTTAACCGCAAAAAGGAGTGATTTTCGTAATTTTTTTCGACTTTTCTGTAAAACTTTATTAAAATAATGTTCATTGCATTAGATTGTATAATTATGGTTTTATGAACTTTTAGCAACTTTGAAACTTAAAAAATATTAATATTTGTGCAAACTGCAGCTGTTACCCGAAAAAAATTCTTTTTAAAGCGGTTTGCGGTGTGCACGATAAAACGGGAACAACTAAACTGAAATCAAGTTTGTTTGTTTACTATATGTCACCTTGTTCGTCAACGAAGGGTTTTGAGAAAAAATTCTTTTTTTATAAATAGCACTGCTTTCCCCCAAAAATCGAATTTTTAGGTTTTTCAAAAACTTGTTTTCTAAACGAAACAAATATAAATTTTGGTAAAAATTAAAATTCCTTCGTTCACGAACGAGGTGACATAGTAAAATAACAAACTTTTCTTTTTTACTTTTTATGCAGTCAAAAAGGTATGTAACCTCTAAGACTCAGGCATATTTTGATATCTATACATACAGGAAATCTATTTAAATTTTTCGACGGGATGTCTCATGCAATATCAACTCTTTTTCACTACTAGAGTCGAATTTAACTTTCTAGGATAAATTTGAATATTTATAGAGTTTACACACAGTAATACAAATTTCTTTATGAAACTGAGTAAGTTTTGCGTTGAGCAATGAGTGTAACAATAAGATTAATTTTTGTTTTTTTAACGTGACAATCTATTGTCACAGTTTAGCTAACCTTATTGTCAATTAAGTGAATTTCAATTCAATAATATTTTATTAAGTTAAGTAATAAAAAATAATTCGTTCAAAATAAAGTAATCCCCATGAGTCAAGGTCATACATGAATTAAAACAAAACTTCTTACAAAATTGATATTTTTTACCACTAATCGAAAATAAATTCGACTAAAAATAAAATTGAGTATTTAAATGAGAAAAGTTTTATTTGACAAAATATTTGACTATAAAGGATTTGGATGAGTAATCGCCGCCTTCTTAGAAACTGAAATAACTGAATGAAAGTAATTGAGCTTTGCAGTCAAATGCTCGAGAGTGCCTGCATCAATGAAATTGTCGAATGCTCATAGTCATTATATTAATTATATTTATTACATTAGCATATGTTAGTTTCATTCTAAGACATAACAATCTAAATTTTTGGTTCATCGCCCGCTGTGAACAATAAGAGAGACAGAAATCTCCAGAGGTTCATCTTTCCAAAATTTTCAAAAAATAGAAAAAGACATGTCTACCAAATAACCAACAAGTATCCCTTCGTGATGCACTCGAACTAGTGCCAATTTTTGATGGATCAAATATTCCATTAACAGTTTTTATCGATGATTGTAATGAAGCGAGACAAATGTTATCCACATCACCTCAATTAGAGGAAAATCTAGTAAAATTCATTTTAAAGAATCCCGATAAATATCTACGCTTAATTGACTCACTTACATTCAGCCAACTAGGCTGTAAAATAGATATGACTTTAATGAAAACAAGGAATCAATTGATACATCTGAAATTCAGAAATCGTTCAAATCAATTGTACTAAAGGAAATGTTATACCATCTATTTTTATTCAAAATTCTCCAAATAACGCAACATGCTATATTATGAAAGATAACGATTATATCGAAATCAATATAGAAAGGTTTGAGAATAACAAAGATACAAAAAGAAAATTAGCTAAAGTAATGCTAACTAGGCCGAAAAATAGATATGAATTTAATGAAAACAAGGAATCAATTGATATTTTTTAGTGAAAAAATTCAATTAATTAGGTGGAGTGATTCCTGCGAAAGATGTTTTATGAGATACCACACAGCAGAAAACTGCTACGGGTTTAAAAGAAATAAAAATTATAAAGATTAAGTATTGTCAAAATCGAACTAGCGTCCCCTTCAGCGACGTTAAACTTATGTATTTTCCCCCATAGGGAAGAGGGATAATGGTATGAGCATTCAGTCCAATGTGAACAATAAGAGAAACAGATGTATCTAGAGGTTCAATTAATGTCTTTTATATTAAATATTCATGTCTAAAAGACCATACAATATAGTTGTGAATCTGCCCACTTCAATCCAGGAATGTCGACACCTGAAAGGAAAGAACGCTCCAATTCGAAGTCGTTCGTGATTTAATAAAACTGCATTTAGATAACGCCCAAACTATATAAAGACATCTTTATAATTTAAGGTACCGTCCTTACGCGTATAAGGTCGGTGATTAGGTAGTGCAGTATGAAACTCTGTCTTCAGCACAAAAAGGGATAATCACGTCTTTTATGTCGCAATTGCTTATGTCACGGTATTCCAGGCCCTCATGGACATTTATTGTCGAATTGAGAAAAAGACATTAACATTTTATTTCAAGTGCGGAAGATTAGGAGTTAAAAAACCACTTGTCCAACTCCAGAATGCCAATCCAAAAACAGTCAGGGAAAAAGGATAGAGGCCGCCGTACAGTGGAACAGAGTGGTTAGAGATGAAGAACTCACCCGACACTGGAGTAATGTATACCATGCTGGGAACGTTTCAGTTTGGAAATTATAAAAAGTGGTGATGAACGTCGGTCTGGTTGTCCATACTTGCCGCTCCTGAGGGTATGTGACCAACTCTTATTGTGGATAGAAGACCATATTCAGTTAAATGGACAATTATATCGTCGAGGGTATTGGGCGCCGGTAAGGATTAAAATACCAATATGTATGTTCACACATACATATATATACATTTTTTTAATATTATTTTAGCGCAATTTCTTCAATCCTGGATTGTGGGTAGGGGTACGAGAACCAAAATTAATGATTCCTGGAGATGAGTCAAGTCTTACGACTATACCTCATTTAAAAGATTCGGATTTAGGTTGCCTTCAGTGGGAGCCTATAGATAAATGTTTGATACTGGTGAATGTAGTGGAGTATTTCCGATTAAATGATAGTCCAATATGGTATCGTAAACGTGGAGTTTTAGAAGTTGTAAGAGAAATAAATTAATATTATTCAAAATTCTTATGCAATTATAAACATGTGGACTTATATTTTTATTTTATATTTTCAGCGAACTCGGGTTGATTTCACAAGATATTGGGCTCCTCCTGGATTAGTTTTGCCCAGGAATAATTATTTTGTGTATAAGAAAAATTTAATGAAGTATAATAAGGAGACATAATGTGTAGTGTTTGTTAAAAAAAAATATATATTTCCTCTTTTGTGGTGTATGTTTAAATTCTTAATTACACAAAAGAGGAAATATTTTTTTTTAATATCTCTTTTTCAAATTTATTTTACATTTACCTCTTTAAACGTGTAATTGATTTACAAGTGTTTAAGTGTGAGAAGAATGATTTTAACCTCGAGTGTGTATATCAAATTTAAGTTGTGACTTCTGTATATTTGGATCAGTTCGAATTTTGTACTTGTTTCGTTTAGATCGGTCGAGAAGATTTTTGACGAAATGTCGGGTAGGAATGAAATTGTCGACATTTATAGTGAGACAGAGGGTTCACAGGTTCTTCGGGTTCAAGTGAGATTTGGGAAGATTTCCCATTAAGTGCTCATGAGTTGCAGTCGAGTGAGATTCGGGAAGATTTCCCATTAAGTGCTCATGAGTTGCAGTCGAGTGAGATTCGGGAAGATTTCCCATTAAGTGCTCATGAGTTGCAGTCGAGTGAGATTCGGGAAGATTTCCCATTAAGTGCTCATGAGTTGCAGTCGAGTGAGATTCGGGAAGATTTCCCATTAAGTGCTCATGAGTTGCAGTCGAGTGAGATTCGGGAAGATTTCCCATTAAGTGCTCATGAGTTGCAGTCGAGTGAGATTCGGGAAGATTTCCCATTAAGTGCTCATGAGTTTCAGTCCAGTAGAACCCAACAGGAACGTGTGTCACATGATGGTGGTCCAGTTTTTCCAGATTTTCGCTACCGGAATCACTATGTAGCTCCACCGATCCCAAGTCAACAATCGTTACAGCAGAGGAACGATGAAAGGTGGGCGGAGATGTCCGCGCTAATTAATAATTTAGCAGACAGGGTGACCCAGTTCGAAGACTCACATAACGTGTTTATCTTGTGTTTGTGGGGTTTGCCGATGGTGGATCCGAGTGCGGAAGTGGGATGGATTATGTCCCAATTATTGAGGATTCGTTCCGAAGAGAGGATGACTATACTCTCTCATTTGCCGGAACCAAGAAAGGGTGTCCGAATTCAATTCGGTTCTCGAGAGGCGAGAGATTATGTCGTCCGATGTCGCGAGTTGCTTCTAGGACATAACATTCAAATTGCCAAGTTATAAGTTATAAGCAACGCGTTTAGTTATATAGACAAAGCGGTTTCAGCTCTGTTTAAAGAGAATTTGTATTATTGAGTGATGATGATTCAACAAGCATCATTCTCTGAATTAACAGCCTTCTGTGTAACGGGAAGGGCTATAAGATTATGTCCTACATTCGATTGGGATGCGATTAGTCATTTACTTGAAACAGAAGTTCGTGATTTTACTGCAGCGGTAGCCGCAGTAGGAGGAAATCAGTACTATGGATTTAATAAAGACTTAGGTGTAGCTAAATCAACGAATTATAAGTCTCTCACATGGGTAGCAAAGGAACTGTTGATCAGATTAAATGGAGAAGGAACTCTTATGAATTATCAAGGATGGATACCTCAGCCTAAGTTCCAAGAAAGAATAAGAACTCTTGTTTACAATTTTGTCAACACCTACAACAACCAACAAGAAGGTCGCGTAAATGTTGAAGTTAGAAATGCTCTTGTTGAAGCTGTTGGTCAGGCTAGTAATGCCGACATATTTGCTTAATAAAGTGTAAAGAGGACAAAGTCCTTTTCTATAGTTTCTCGTTTATATCCTCTTATAATTATAAGTCACATTTCTATGTTTTTTTTAAAAAAAAAGCTTTATTCTGATTCAAGGCTATTTTCTCCCTCAGGTCATTCAATATGGACATTCGAATTGTCCACTCAAAAATGAGATGTAGTAAACACCCACATTAGTCTCAATATGCATATATAGTATTAGAAGCTGTCTATAAAAAATACTGAACCACTCCTAATTTATAAATAACAGCTAATCAAGTTAGATAGTGTCTCATCAGGCAGATGCTGACTTTGACCTATCATTGTTTCCTAACTCATTCCTGTAATATAACTTTATATTAAATGAGATTTATGTCACGTGAAAGGTATTTTAAGTATATTTTGTCTTCTGCAAATTATTTCAAATGGAAATTATAACTAGTAGGTGATATAAAACAGTTTTTAAAAAGGAAAAATACAGTATTCATTGTATCATAAACAACTCGTTTAGTTATATAGACAAAGCGGTTTCAGCTCCGTTTGAAGAGAATTTGTATTATTGGGTGCAAACTCTTACAATGTTCAAAATTCTAGAAAGTAAAAATTCATCTGCAACATTCACTCACTTAACGTGAATAGAAAAAAAATTGTTATTGTTGAATGCGACATCTAAGGCCATATTTTTGGATTTTGAAATTTTTAAGATTTGTATACATTAAGACTCGATATGTCTTTTCAAATGTCTTTTTAAGCTAAAAGCTTGAGAAAACATTTGATTACATTTATCACATCTGTACGTTTTAGATCCATTATGAGAATTTAAATGCCTTTTCAAATGACTGGCTAATTTGAATTTCTTGCCACAAAGTTGACAATGATGTTGTCTTACCGAATCATGAGAAGCTTTGTGACTCTTTAAATGACTAGATTGAGAAAATCTTTTATTACACAAGTTACATTCAAAAGGTTTCACTTTCGTGTGAATTCTAGTATGTTCAACAAGATTACTTTTTTGAGTAAATGATTTATCACAGTATTTACATTTATGTAACTTTTTATCATCGTGAGATTGTAAATGAATTTTTAAATTGTATTTTTTACTAAATTTTTTATCACAAATATTACATTCTAATAATCCTTTTCCAGTATGCAATCTGAAATGAGCATTTAAATTTTTTGCGAAACGAAATTTCTTTTTGCAAATATTACATTCAAAGGCATAAACTTTTTGTCTATTTTGCATTTCGTGTTGATTATTTGTTGTATGGGAATTCATATGTTCTTCTAAATACGAAGGGTAAGTGAATATTTTGTTGCAAAGCTTACATTGATAAACGTTCGATCTTGTATGTAATCTTATGTGGGCGTTTAATTTACTTTTAGAGGCATAAGATTTATCACATGTAAAACATTTAAAGGGGCGAAAATTTGAGTGTAATAAACAGTGAGTTTCTAGCTTTGACTTTTGGAAAAATTCTTGAGAACATTTTTCACATTTGTAAATTTTATTACTAGACTCTTCGAATTTACTCACCTGGCATTTTTCTTTGTACTTTAAAGATCGAGTTTCGTTAAAGCACTGCTCAATAATTTTAGAATTATTTTGGGAGTGATGCATCATGTCTGACTGCAATCTAGTGTTATTCAGTTGAGCAGCATCAGTATTAATAATACTTTCAGGAACAATAGAATTTTGAATATCATTATTATCATTAATAAACGAATTAAATGGATAATGAAAATTTGATAATGACTTTTCCATTGCGGAATTAATTAAGCCATTAGTGATAGGTACGTTAAATTTGGGATTTTCCCTATTCTCAATGTTTTCTTCATTGGAAACTAAATTGAGATTATTTGTGTCATGGGTTAGGTTGTGATGAATAAGTTGTGTTCTGTTTGTAAAAGTGTGATTACATAGAGAACAATGAAGAGCGCATGCAGCTCGGTTGTTAATTGAATTATCTTCTGTTGTTAAATATGGAATGTTTAACTTTGTAGGTTCAGCGACATTATCCATGTCAATATTAGTTGAGCTCGCAACTATGTGATTTAGATTTAGAGAGGAATTTTCAGACTCGGCGATACGCATGTGCTGGGACGGTACATTATTTTCGTGCAGAAGAGGAACATGTAACCTATTATGGAGACAAAGTTCCTGATAATTCATAAAGACTGCCCCACATTCTACACATTTTAAGGTTTTTTGTGCATTTTGTAATGGTACGAAGCCTTGATTTTGTTGATAAATTTTACATCCACTTACAGTCGTATAAGATGTCATTCCTTTAACCTGAAATAATACAAATTTTGACTATAATTGTAAAAAATATTACATCTCTATAAACTCAAATATCTTAAGTTCGTTTTAAAGAACAATACTCTTTATTTTGCATTATTGGGTTAAAATTAAAAATTACCTTCAATAATGCTTGTCTTAAGGCTCTGTCGGCAACTCGACATTGTTCACGATATAACAAAGCAGATTCAGCGCGAGTAACGCATTTATCACACATTTTTTCTGGTAGACCATCTCCTTGACATACCTGTATTATTACACGGAAAGACATTTTATTTCAAAATTTAATAAAAATGAGAAAATATTTTTTACAATTTGAATTTTTGAAATTTTAACATGAAGACTTACTAGTAAAAGAATATAAAGTTTAATATTGTGACTTAGAAATATTAAAGTTTGGCTTTATTAAATTTGAGACAAGTAATTTGTAACAGTCTCTCTATTAAATAAATAGGTACAAACAAATTTTATTTAAGAATATTAAAAATCACATTGCCTGATATGATCGTTTGTAAATGGGGCATTCCATTTCAAAACTACCCTCCTTATAAACAATTGATATTGTAAGGCAATTTTTAAATAATTATTACTCCTATTTATTGAAGTTTCAAAAGAAAAATTTCTCAAATTTATGAAAGTTTGAGAAATTAATTAAATTTTATAAGAATTTTCAAGGTTATAATGTATGTACCGAGCAGGATTTGTTTTTTTTCAAATTTTTACACAGTTTAACCTCTGACATCTTTGTAAAATTTAATTAATTTCTTAAATTCCCCTGAATTGACCATTATAATGTTTACAGGCGATAAAAATTAGAATTTTTAAGCTTTACTTTGATATAAATTTCATCAAATTTAATTTTTTTCCACAAATTATATTATTTTAAAAAAAATTCTTTTTACCATCATAAAAATTGTATTACAATGTCAATTGTTTATAAGGAGGGTCGTTTTTAAATGGAATGCTCCAAATACTAATAAATAGTAAATGAGCAATTCCACGTGAACTAATACAATAAAAAAATGAGATATTTTAAGGGACATTGCATTGTTTTATTCAAATTGACATAAGCAATTCTAATCTTTATATAGTTATTTTTAATAATTTTTGTGCACTTTTCAATTCCAAAAATCTTTTTCCAAAAAAAATTATTTTACCCTTTTTCTAAAATGAACCTTATTTTTCAATTTTTACAGAAACTATCTCTTTTTTATTGGAAATTTTTTCCAGTAAATTATGCAAAGCTAAAAAATGAACATCAATGGATTTTAAATAAAATAAACAAAAAGTGTTTAAAAAGTTGGTTGTTTTTTATTTTTTTGAAAACCCACTGTTGCCACACTTTTAAAATTTACATAATTTATTGGCAAAAATCTTAGCTTTATAATGCAAATATTTAAGTTTCTCTCTGGTTTCAATGTTTATTTTGATTTTTTTTTACACAGAATAAATGATCCAAAAAAATTAATTCTGAAAAAAATGAGAAAAATAAAAGAAAATGAATAGAAATTGGAAAGTTTATGAGTGTTAAATTTAAATAAAATGTATCTGGAAATTGCAAGGTAAACTTTATACATTATAATTTTATATTTTTACAATTCAGTTTAATTAAAATCTATTTTTAAAATAAAAACAATTTTAATTTATTAGTAATTTAAACAAAAAATAAAAGAAAAGTAATGGTAATGACTATAGTAATAATATAATAAATATAAAAGTAATATATAATATACGTATATATAAAATATATAAAAAATAAAATATTTAAGTAATTTATAAAATATATATAAATAGTAAGGGAGACTGGGGCGAAAAGTTAAATTTTGCATAAATGATTTTTTTTTGGCAATATAAGCCGCTTAGATGCAAATATTTGTATATCAATATTGTAGGGCAACTTGTCCTCTACAACTTTCAATAAAAAAGTTCCTGATATTTTCGCAAAAAATACATGTTTTCTCCTTTTTTGAAAATTTTGTTTTTTTTAACTTTTCGCCCCACCCTGGGGCGAAAAGTTAAATTCTATTTTTAGCCTACTAAAACTATTTTCTGATAGGTGATAAATAGTAGATAAGTTAAAGTATACGTAAACAAGTAATTTAGTAAATAAAAGATCTTTGTTTATTTGACAAAAGCTTTAGAATAGTTGTAAAGTTAAAAAATTGAAATTTCAAAAAAAAAAAAAAAATTTTTTGGTTTCTTTCACGTGAACCGGCTTATTTTTTGACAGAGTACTTGCCAAATGTCAAATAAATAATGTTTAAACAAATAAACCCAAAAAAACGAAAAATAAAAAAAAATTTTTTAACAACATGTAAAAATACATTTAACTTTTCGCCCCACCCATTATTTAACTTTCCGCCCCAGGGTGCGTTTTTGGCTTTAACAACAAATATAAAAAATCTGACTAAAGATATTTAGAAAATACATGTAGGTATCTCTTCAGGGGACCCAAATAATGAAGTAAAAAAATCGCGGTGAGAATAAATGCAAAAAATATACTTAAAAGTTGATATTTTCTTTTTCGAACAAATTTTCAAAAGTAGGTTGAAAAAAACTTTCAATATCGACACCACAAAAATAAACAGAATTGCACACAACTCCGGACATTTATTTAGGGTGATAACACCCTTCTATAATTAAAATTGCAATGCTCTAACTATTTTCGTTCGAAAGATAATGAATTTTAACGGTTTTGGCAGTTTAACTTTTCGCCCCAGTCTCCCCTAATAATATAATTATTATTATAAATTATAACCCCTTAGTTATTTACTGTCAACTGTTTTCGATTCTAAAAAAACACCTGTTAAATATTTTTTTGTTGCACGTTAAAAATAATTCGCAATTTTAAATCGTTTATAACTTTTTGAAGACGAATCATTTTATCTGTCTACTTGCATAATTGAAAGCTTATTTCTTAAAGTTTATGTAGACAGAGTTTCAATACTGTGCTCAAAAAAAAAATTAACAAATTTTTTCTCATTGAAAATTTAAAAGTTCTAGAGAGGTTCTGCCCTTATACATATAATAAATTAATTTTTTCGATTTTTGGAAGACATATATAAAAGGTAAAAGAAAAACACTCTTTTACTTTTTTATAAAATAGATGACGTTTCGTTGGTCTAGTTCGCCACCATCATCAGGTCACTTTTATAAAAAAATTGTTTTTCCAATGACACAATTTAAAAAAAAAAATTAAAATTAAACAAATAATAAAAAACAATTTTTACGTAGTTAAAATCAATAAAATAAACATCACGTCAATAAATTAAAAACTATAAATAAACGCAATACAAAAAAAAATAATTAAATTTACAAATCACAAACATTTAAAACAAGTGATTAGTCAAACTGACTGAGCCGGTGACAATTTTCGCTTTATAATTATACAGACCCATCGTCAATGACCCGCAATCGAAATATTATAAATTATTACCGTTATTTCAATTTATTAAGCAAAGAAAAATAAAAATGACTAAGAAACTGTACATCTTCCTTCTTGTTAATAGTAAAATTATTGCATTTAATGTAAATCATCTCAGAAATTAATCGTTTATAACGAATTCTTGAAAATGTAGTTTGTCACCAAGCCATCAGAAAGGTATAAACTAAAATTTTGTCTAACCTCTAGACAAGACAAAGACCGCAACTTGGCCGCAAGTGATGATCCAGATGGACCAACAAATAAGCACACCATTTTATCATTATCTTCTCTCAAGCAAGTGCGACACAATTTACTTATGTTTTCACTGTCTATTTTTTTAGTTACTATAAACATTGTAAAAATTTTCTACATTTCCTTCACTTTTTTATTTTTCTTTTGTTTAAATGGCCTCCAGTCCGGTCCCTTTGGGTTCTTGGGTGGGACAAATGGCCAATAGTCCTTTCTTTGCCTTTCAGAAAACTTAAGTAGAGTACACAATGGAGGGAGTGAAACGCTCTCAGGTTGAGTCCACAATAAAATAAATCGTCTCGATTTCGATGCGCAGTAAACAAAAATGTATGTACGCGCAAGAGAAGGATAAACAACATATCTATCCTTCTCTAACTCATTCTTCCGTTTACGATTGCGGTTATGATTCCGGTTACGTTTCCATTCTACTTTGGCCTATGTGATAAGGCATAAGTTTGTCTCACTCTACATGGAATGGAAAAACCATTCTTGTCTTTCTCTCTCCTATGACAGAGACAAGTTTTCTCACGCTGCATTTTCTTACTTTTTCCAAAAGCGGAAAATTTAGAGTGAGACAAACTTATGCCTTTCTTATAGGAGAGAGAAACCTTGGCACAATTGGCAACAGTTTTGAAATCATGATTTTAGAGAAAATACGGACGACACCTTTAGGTTGAGTCCACAATAGCACTCTTAGACTCAACCTTAAGGTGCCGTTCAATGTAGGCGTAAAAGCGTTAAAACATAAAGGCGGAAAACGTTAAACCAATTAAAGCCTTCTGTTAAATAGAACAGTTAAATATAAATATATAATAATTTTACTGATTTAAAGTAAACCTATATGCACAATGAGCAATTACTTTGAATTAGAAAAAAACAAATGCATTGGCATGCTACTGTAGAAACACCTTTAATAAAATCTTTTTTCTACTGACAGAGGTACAAACGCACCCTTAGATGTACAGTTCAATTTTCCTATGTGAAGTTTGAATCTGTATGTGTGTACGTCATTTATTTCTATAGCTTTACCTGCCTGTACTCTATGCTTTGATCGGAGCCACGTCATATTTGTTGGTTGTGCACTTGTATTTGCAGGGCTTTTTTCTCGCCTTTTCAATTTCAAATCGGTACTGTGAAAAACTTGAAGCTATGAATATATTCCGCCTTTTGGGTGATTTATCTCACCTTCTTGCGATTATAGTTCTTCTCCTTAAAATATGGAAAACCAGGAGTTGTGCCGGTAGGTGTTATATTTTATAAAAAAGCGGCCGTCATCATAAAAATGATAATTCCTTTTGTGTTCTTAGACATTTAAATATTTATTATTCTTACAGATAAAGTAAAGTATATTTTTCTTATAATTCAAATGACTAATTGTTAAAAATTTTCAGGCATAAGTGGTAAATCGCAAATTCTATTTGCGATTGTGTACACAACGCGGTACTTAGATCTGGTAACAACATACATTTCGGCTTACAATACTTTTATGAAAGTAATATTTATTGCTGCTTCTGGTGCTACTGTTTTTCTAATTTATTTAAAATTCAAAGCAACATACGATCATAACCACGACACCTTCAGGTAAAGCACAATTTTTCATAATTTACGTTTTTATATTTATTTATTTATATACTAAGATAATTGATTAATTTTGTTGGTAAAACGTTTCAAAAATCTGCTAACATATTTTTCTTTATTTATCTGTATTCTGTCGTTACATTAATAATTATTTGTTAAAACTTTCCTGGTTGATAATGAATTGCTTAATTCTGTTTTAATTTTATTTTTTTCTTATCTTGTGCTATAAAATAATTGGAAAAAAAATATTCTTTTTGATTCGTTGAAAATTTTTTTTTAAATTTATTTTTAAATAAATATTGAATACGTCATTTAAACTAAAACATATGGACGCTACTGTAAAGCTAAAGATCTTTTTTTACATCAATAAAGCTAATTCATATCTTTAAATTCATAAATTTAAATTTATAAATCTTTAAATGAAATTTCATTTTTGAGGGATTTTTTATATCAATATTGATGTTTGAAATTTTTATAATAATTGTATTCGTATATATTAAAGAGTATTATTTTAAAATGCAACGTTAACGTAGCCACCTTAACTTCAAAGACAAGAAAGATGGTAAAATTTTTTAAAACAAAATTCCAGTCATCTTTTTTTAACTTTGGAGTCAACGAGAAGCGAATTTTCAAAAATAACTCTTATTTTCAAGTCGACAATTTTTTCTAACAGTATCACTTTATATATTTGTTCCGACAGTTGAAAAAAAACTAAAAAAAAAATAATTTAGTTTGAGGGTTAGATATTTTAAAACAATGATTAGAAAAATTAAAAACAAAACACGAAAGCTTATGTACCAAATATAAGTAAAAAAATTTTAGACCTTGGGCCAATCAATGCATTTTTAAATGATCTATAGGATGTTTATAATATTTTAATAGTTAAAGAAACGTTTACAATTTTTGATTTTTAAAATAATAATTTTGTAATTTTTGATCGGATTAGGTTAAAATAAATCGAAGCGTTTTTTAATGCTCTACAAGTTGGTTATGCGACTTTTAAAATTAGTTCTACATTTTTTAACAAAATTTTCAAAAAAGTATTATTTTTCGAAATTTAAGATTTTTAAAAAGTTAATATCTCAGGCTAGCATGGACGAAAAATGGTCAATAAGGGGTCAAAAGAAGCGTTTAAAAATACTATTAAGTAAAAGAAAAACATTTATAGTTGTCCTAACATTTTTAAAAAGTTATGATCAAAAAACGGGTTTTTCTAATTTTTAAAACGTAAAAAAATATAATTCTGTTTTAATCCGGCAATATTTTTGGCTTAACTCTACAAATATTTGTATTTTGATTACATATGTTTAAAAAGTTTCATAATAATATGTTATTAACTAGAAAGCGAGGCTTCGGATATAATAATTTAAATTATTTTTTTATTTAAAACAAATAAACGTAAGATTCTGAACTTTAATTCGATATATATGATACGAATATGTATAATTTTTCTTAACTATACGTTAAAATATAATTATAAAATAAGTATGACTTTTAACCAAAACTAGAAGAGAAAATTAAAAATTTTTCAACTAAGAAAAGCTTTTAATATTAACATTCGAAGATTATGTAAAGATAGATAAATCTACGAAAATAGAAATATGTTTTTCAAAAAATTCAAACTCGAAGAAATATTAAGACACATATTGCAACAAAATACAACTTTTTTAGTATAAAATTCTACTTATTTCTATCTTCATAGTATAAAAAATCACTATAGTGAAATCTATTCCTGAAAATGAGTCTTACATTTTTCCTAAACCTTTTAGGACATAAAACCAATTTCGGGTATTAAATTATTATTTGTTTTATTTTAATGCGTAAAAAACGGCTTTGAGTCAGATACTAAACAATTATTTGTTTTTTATTAATACCTAAAAGCGGCTTTGAATTTGAAACCTAGAAAAAATTTATTTTTTCATAATAAATTATTACTTAAATGTATATTTTTTTAAATTATTAAACTTGGGAATAAATTTAGTTAAAAATTCTAGAAAATATTAATTGAATTTTAGAAGAATTACAATTGTAATTTTTAAAAATATATTAAAATTTTTATTAGTGAAATGAATTTTGTTTTAAAAAACTGTATTTCAATTTATAAAAGTATCGTGTTGTTTATAAAGAAAAATGTTAAAGAATATTGAAAAATTATTTGAAAACAATTAAATTTTATAAAAACTTAAAATTTAATTTACTTTTGGGATAAGGAAAAAAATTAAAATTTTTTATGGAAATCAGGGAAAAGTCAGATAAACATAAAGTAATATTTTTATAAAAACTCTGAACATAATAAACAACCTTTTCGACATTTTTTGTATTTTGAATCGACTAAAACGACTTTTTTCGCACCTTAAAGTCGATCCGACGCCTGAAATCTAACAAGATTTACATAAATGTAAAGTTCATAAAGTTAAAATTGAAATTTTTTACTAATAAATATGGTGTTTTATCAGAAAAAAGTAAATAAACAAAACTACTATAAAAGAGATTTCAGACTACTGTTTTAAAAGCTTAAGATTGTGTTCTTTTCTTGCAGTCAAATCATAAAGAAATTAATTTTTTATATGTTGATAAAAAAATTACTAGTAACCGCCATTTATTTATACAATTTTAATAATTATTAAGTCAAAAAAATGACAAAAAGTAACTTTTAACTCTTTTATCTGATGATTTTTTTTATCAGACTACAGACTACACTGTGAAAAAGGCTTATACGTATGCGTTTTTTTGTTTGTTTATTTTTAAACCTAATTAAAATATATAATGTGGAAGGTGTTGAAAATTTTATCAAGAAATTTTCAGAATCAGATATAAAATAATACGTGTAGTTTTTAAATTGATTAAGAAACCGAATTCGTAAAATAAATAATTTTCCTTAAACATTTGATTTTTTATTTATTTTCTAGGATAGTTAAAAAATTATTTATGAATTTTTATTTATTATACATTTTAAAGAAAATTATATAGTGTACTACTTGTAATTTCGGTCAGATTACGATTCAATTATTTTCAAAAAATATTCGAAATTCAATTATTTTAAACATCTAGTATTTTTATAAAATTTCGCAAAAAAATTCAATTATTTAACAAAAGATTGATAAAATTCATCCAAAATTCAATTATTTTCATAAATAATAAAATTTTTACAGGAATTCAATTAATTTAGAATAACATTTTCAAAAAAATTTCTAAAAAATTAATTATTTATCAAAATTTTTATACAATTCTTCACAATAATTTTATTATTTTCATTAATTATCACCGAAGAATTTTAATTATTTTTGATACTATTTTAAATCATTTAATCGAAAAATTCAATTATTTTCACAAATAAAGTTCTGCACAAGAATTCAATTATTTAAAACAATGTTTATAAAATTCTTATGAAGAATTCAATTATTTTCAAAAATAACAAAACTTGTACCAGAAATTCAATTTTTTTTAAACATTTGAATTACATTTTTCATATTAATTCAATTATTTTCATGAATAATAAAATTCTTCTCAGGAATTCAATTATTTTTGAAAATTTTAATAAAATTCTTAGCAACTATTCAATTATTTTCATAAATAATAAAATTCATCGTAGGATTTCAATTATTTTTAATATAATTTTACAGGAATTGCTCAAGAAATGTAATTCTTCAAAAGAATTCAATTATGTCGATAAATAACAAAATTATTCCCGAAATTTCAATTATTTTGAGGCATTTTAATAAAATTCTTTGCAAAATTCAATTGTTTTCATAAATAACAATATTCATCACAAGAATTCAATTATTTTTTAAAGTATGTAATACATTTTTTCTTGGAAATTCTATTATTTTAAAAAATTCTAATAAAATTGTTCGCAAGAATTAAATTATTTTCATAAATAATAAAATGCTTTTTAGGAATTCAATTATTTTCAAAAAAAATTTAATAAAATACCACACAGACATTCAATTATTGTCATAAATTTTAATAGATTTCTTTGTAAAATTTAATTATTTTTTAAAACTTTTCGCAATTTAATGATTTTTGGTATTTATTATTGTCATAAAATTTCCAAACATAATTCAATTATTTAAAACCTTTTTTTGTAAAAATCTTCATAATAATGCAATTATTTTCATGAATAATAAACATTTCTCAGGAATTCAATTATATTTAAAATTTTTTCTAAAATTCTTCACAAGAATTCAATTATTTTTATAAATATTTAAATTCTTTGATGAATAATAGAATTCTTTGCAGAAATTTGAATTTATTAGCAGGATAAGAAAGAAGTCAATATTTTTGATGAAAATTAGGAAAAAGTCAGTCGTGTGCTAAGTCTGTGAGTGTAATAATTTGAAAGATTTAAAAAAATGCCTTATTTTTGTAACAGAATTGAATTCCTGGTGCTGCCAGCTCTAGTCCTTGCTTTGGCAATAAATCACAGTTTCTCCTTTGTGGAAGTTCTCTGGACCTTCAGTATTTACTTGGAGTCTGTGGCAATTCTACCCCAATTGTTCCTTGTATCGAAGACAGGAGAAGCTGAAAGCATTACTAGCCATTATCTTTTCGCACTAGGATCTTACCGAGGGCTTTATCTTTTAAATTGGGTTTATCGTTACTATGCAGAGGATTATTACGATTTGATTGCAATTGTTGCCGGTCTCGTACAAACAGTTTTGTATTGCGACTTTTTCTATTTGTACATTACCAAAGTTCTTAAGGGCAAGAAATTACAGTTGCCTGCCTAGCCAACCAAAAGTATTTATATGTAATACTATTTTCGACTGCAACTGGCTCTCGATCGAGCCGAAAATTGCAAAATATGTGGGGCTCAACAGAGGAAAACGAACGTTCATAAAAATTGTGTGTTGTTCGAATTAAAGCCCAATATTTCTTGGACATGAATTTCTCATCGCGTTTCTCATTATTTCTGCATCGCGCTGCACAAATGTCATACTGAGTAAACGTCTAAGTTAATCTAGTGCTTAAAGTAATAGAATGTACATTGAAATTGTATAATAATTAATCATCTTGAATAATAGTGAAATTGGTATTGTACGCTAGAAGCGAAAGGATCAGATAGATAAACAAATAATGTCTGCCTATAATATTTAAGTTGTTATAATTACGATTTTTATTAATTAAATGACTATAATTATTGAACCATTCCGAATTTCTTGTCCTTTATCAGCCCGTTGTGAAAATATTTAAGACCTGTAAAATATTTAAGGGTTTTTAGGGAAAAAGTACAAAAACTTTAGAGAATCAGGCACTTTTTCCAAGAAATTCTATATATGAACTGTTTCTTCAATTGTCATTGAAATAAATGTGATTTTAAAAAATTTGCCAGAAAAGTTCGCTGGGAATTTTTCATGAATGTTAATAAAATTGGCAGCTTCAAACAATCTTAAGGTACGTAAAGTTGGAAAAATAAACTAATTTATGTCCACCATGTCAAATAAAGGTCTTAATTTCTTAATGCTATGTTAAATTTTTATTATAATTTGAGCTAAAAATTATGAAACCACAGAAAAAAATATGGAAACCATGTGTTGGAAGTAGAAGTTTACTGAACATTACTTTTCATATTTATGGAATTTTAAACTTTCACGCAATGTTTATAGTCAACTTTCGCCTCAATAATTTAATGAAAAAATAAAATTTTTTTTAATTAATTAGTCTATATTATTTTTTATTTAATAAATTAATTGACATTAATTTGAATAATTTATTGCATATTTAGAATTTTCAAAAAATTATTTGCACAAACTTTTATTATAAAGAGAAAATTTAAATATCTTGTGAACAATCCTTTTTAAAATTAGCTCGCCATTAGTGACTCCAACCAATGAAATCACTTATACTTTAAGAGGACCAGAAACATCCTTCTCTACCCATGGTTAGGTTGTTTCTTTCTGCGTTGCAAACCCGGGTTTTATCCCCAGTCCCTCCAAATTTACTTTCAAAATTTTCTTCGAAAATATTGATATTGAGGAATAAATAAACATCAGTTCGAATAATAAATAAATTAAACAGAGAGAAATATTTTTTATTTTTTTTAATTTAGAAATACTATCTTTACGGCTATAAACTGAAATATTAAATAAGTTTATAAGTGAACATAAAATAAATAATAATTAAATAACTATATAACTACCTTCTAATGCTTAAAGATACTTACCAGAGATTGTTTTAAAGAAGATAACCAAGCAAAATTATCTAAAACTAACAATTTAATATTTCACTAACTTTTCTCTACTTGTTTTCAGAAAAGTTTCTTAGATTAACAGGGTTCCTAAAAAATCTGGAAATCATGAAAATCATGGAAATGGTATGGAATTTTTAGAAGGCTTCTGGAAATCATGGAAAAGAACTGGAATTTTTAAAAGTTTCTAAATTTTTCCTGTTTTCCATTTTTTTCTTGAATAAAAATTCAAATAATAAAAAAGCTAAATGGCATAAAAAAGAGGAAAAAATGTTGAATTTTAAGAAATTCGAATTTTTGAATTTTTGATAATTTTCGATAATTTTAGATTTTTTACCAAAGAGTCGAGACTATTAAATAAGTAAAGTATTTTTCAAGAGCCCAAAAATAATAAAGCTAAATTCCATAAAAGGGAGGAAAAAATGTTGAATTTAAAAAAAACAGTTTTTCGAATTTTTGATAAATTTTGATAATTTTAGAATTTTTACCAAAGGGTGGAGACTATTAAATAAGTAAAGTGTTTTTAAAGAGCCCAAAAATAGTGAAATTAGATTTAAAATTCCACTGGAATTTCATAAAAATTTGACCTGGAAATCATGGAAAAGGTATATGGAATTTTAAATTCGGATTTCTGTAGGAATCCTGTAGATAACTTTCTGCAAGTTAACACGGAAAAGTTAAAAGCGTAGGACATTTATATCAGAAATTATAATACGTATTTAGTATCTGTATCAATTTATTTTATTTCATAGATTTCCAGTGAAAAACAATTAGGATTCATTAAACTTTTTTAAATTCATAATTATTTACTTTTATATTATTCTCTTTGATCACTTATCTATAATTTTATCAGATTTCTTTAAATATAAAACTATATTTTTAAAATTCTACTACTTTAAATTAAGACAGAAGTGAGAACATGTACTTTAGAAAGAAAACTTTTTTCTAATGATTAAAAATGATCAGTAAAGTTAAAAACTGTCTCTTTTCTTTTTTGATACTCGACGGCCAATTAGGAGAGTGATAATACCAGATTTAATATTTTTAAACTCTGCGATGGCTTCAGCGTGTGTCATTCCATACAATGGCTTTGAATTTAAAGATAAAATTTCATCTCCTGAAATAAAATTATAAAAAATTAGTTGATAATAACCGAGAACCTTGATGGAAGAAACAGACATAGTTCATTGTATTTCAATTCGTTGCTTGAATCTAGATCGTCAATACTACCTTCTTTAACAGTTCCCATGTCTGCTGCTTGTCCATTAGAAAAAATAGTTTTAACATAAATTCCAATGCTTCCACGTGGACTGTCGGTGCCACCAACAATGCTAAATCCTAACCCTTTATTCCCAGGGCCTTTCAAGAATTTGACTGTCATAATTGTATAATATGCTCCTCCTTTACGTGGCCTTGGAAGAGTGCAAAAAGTTGATTCCTCAGCATCTGAGCACTCATAAACGTCAGTTTCTTCATTGTTTATTCTGTCATCTTCATTCTGAATTTAATAATAGATTTCAATATTGTACTATAGTTTAATTTAGAAAACATATTTCAAAGTGATTCATTATAAAACAGTCTCTTAGTTTTTAAAAAGTATAACTATTAATCAGGGTAAATCAGGTATAATTCTAACTAACCTGGCTTCTTTTATATTTACTATCAGAAGATACAGTTAAATTCGTAACACTTCGACTGTTTAATGTACGCGTCGGCCTTTTCATGCTTTTATCACTTGTCAAACTCGAAGAATTACATTCTATGTTATATAGAATGTTTTTTGAGTTGGCAGTATCTGTTCTGAAGGGACGATTGGTCATTTGATCGTCTATTCTGTAATGCGTTTTTCTTTTGTTAGAAGTAATCCGTGGTAGGTAAATTTTTTTAAATTTTTCATTATACATTCCAAACGTATTCAAACAGCAACTGTTTTGATCACCATGGCTAATTGGAAGCAAGAGACTATCCTGTCGTTTGCATTGGCATTCAGAATTAAATTTTAATATGCAACTGTTTTTCTCTTCGCTTTTTGAAGTAAAATCAGTTCTGGAATTCATAAGAAAGTTTGTAGACTAAAAAACAATTTTTCAATTTGTATAATTATAACTTGAACGCAATGTCCATTAGATTGATTCTAGAATATCAAGAATATGAGAAGCAAGAGACCTATATAGTAAGGTATGATAATTATGGATAATTTGGTGTTTTGTTTTATCGCCCGTGTGGATAACTAAAAATTATGATGTAATAAGTATAGTTCACTCAGGACTCATTATAAAAAAAAGCGCGGTTGACAGGTTGAACGTTTTTTCATTACGTTTAAATTTAACCCGTTGGTCAAATGTTAGCCTACCTCATATAGTCAATTAATTATTTAATTATTATTTTCATTCAAAAGATTAAAAATATTTTCTTACCTTTCATTATTAAATAAATAAAAATTATCATGGTAGTTCTTAACTTTACTTTCCTCTTGACTTTTTACATTATGTTGAGTTAAAATTGATTCATTAGTTGAAAATGGAGAATAATAATGCGTATCATTTTTTGGTAATTCAAAATATTTAGGTAATTTTCTAGAACTTATTGTACTCGTCACCTAGAATAGAATATTTTCTATAAAGTCAAGTTTTTAATAACAAGTAGTTTACTTTACCGCAGTTATTATTTACCTTATCCTTTAAAGTATCTTTGTTGGTATAAGAATTTCGAGGTGGTAATATAATTTCGCTTTTCGGTGTTCTTATATCATCGTTTTCATTATCAGGTTCAACATTTTCAAGAATTGTAAATGACTGTAATGGATTTGTTGTTAAAGGTTTTACGTTTTTAGTAATAAGATTATCAGTTGTTGATGTTGAACTTGGATATGGAACATAAAAACTGGAAGCATTCTCTTTGCACACAAAGATATTGGACGAATCTAATGATTTCCGGTTTCGTATCTCAGCGTTTAACTTGTTAAACTTACTGCGAAGTGCATGATGAATATCTGCTATACCCTTCGTTGTACCTTATAATAAAGTGTTTTATTTCATAAGTGCATGACAGAAGATTTTAAGTTTTTGATTTCAACATTTTAAATGTTACCTGGTAATCTTAAAGATCGACTTTGTATAGATTTCTTTGGAATAAATTCATTTTTCAAGGACTTGGGTACAGGAGATGCTTCACGACTAACAGGAGTCGATCTCGTAGTGTAAACGTTTTCAAAAGAGCTCCAAATTGGAAAAATAGATGATTCCTTCTTCTCTGACGGGTCTTGCACTGAATTACGTCTTCCTAGTTTTTTCCACTTACTACTGACACTTTTATTCCAGTAGTTAATGTCTGAAATGAATGCAGTGATTTAGATTTTAAAAATAAGAGAGTATTTTAATTATTATACTTTTAACTCTCTCTGTCATGTAAATAATTTGTCTCTAAAGTGTTAAAGTTCTTGTAATTATATTTAATCGATTCAGCTAAAAAATATAAAATTATAAATACTTTTGACCTCGAAAAACCGATGTGTCCATTTTCTTATCTGTAAAGCTTAAAGAGGATTTATTGCAGCAGGTTTGTGCATGCAAATAAAATTTTTTATTTGGACCACTAGCCGTATAAACGAAAGTTCCAAAATTTTTGTAAAAAAAGTAAAAGATTCTATTTCAATTTTAAAGTATTTTGATATTGCGTATCGGAGTATAAATGACGTTCTCACTTCAGGCCTATAATTTTACTGATATAAACACATACATATTCTTTAATGTTTAATACAATCATTTTTATTTCATTTTCCTTTTATTATCAATTATATTTACCTTTATATATTGTAATCGATATTGTTATCTGCAATTATTCGTTAGGTTATTTTTCTACGACCTCTGTCTGTATTGTTTAAAAAAATTTTGAAGTGTTTTCCTTCAGTGTAATAACTTAATAAAACTTCCATTATAATTAAAATATTACTTAATTCATAACTGTTATTTCAAAATTGTAATAATTAAAACATAATTGAATCATGTTCAAATGAGAATATATTTGTGTAAGTAATGAATAATTGTTGTTAAACAATTGTAGAAATTTTAATAATATAAATATATAAAATTTTTAAAAGACGTCAGTCTTGATTAGAGACAAAATTTTGAAAATTTATAATCTTCTAAATTTAAAGCCATTTGTATTTCGAATCTAAAAATTTGTAAATAAAAGTAGATAAAACCAACAAATAAGGCCACCATGTTAAATATGAGTAAAATTCAATACGAAATATATTGAAGCTTTTTTTCCAATTGGTAGATAGAAAGATAATGAATTGAAAAGTTTTAAACACTACACTGTACGTGTTCTTGACAATGACTTGCCGAAGACTAAACGTCAAATTTACAAATTTAATTTGTAGATGAATATATATAACTTTCAGAATGCATGACTAACATTCATATCATTAAACTTGCACTTGAAAAGAGTGAAGAAAGAAAACTGCTCTAATACGTCAAAAGAAAGCAAGCCTATTATCGACAATCAGCATTAAATAATTAAAAAAAATTTTTTTGATAAAAGAAATAATACAGCAAAACGTTTTAATAAAATTATAAAAAGTATATTTGAAAGTTTTTTTTTTTTTTGAAAGTTTTTTGTTCTTAAAAATATTAAATGTTTATAAACGAGTATTAAAATAATTATATAATTAGTAACTCACCCTTTTTTTCTTGTTTGTTGCTAGAACACAATCCAATATTCCTCGATGGTAATTCTTGAACAACTCCCCGCCAGTTCTGTTCCAATTTCTTTTTATCTGATTTTATGTTATTTATTTGTTGCTCAGATTCTTCTATTAAGCTTTTTAGAATATTCGATTCAGTTTGATCATAACTTCTATATCGTTTTTCCTCATCTTCAGTTGTCCTTAAAAATGTATCGTCCACTGATTTCTTTTGACTATTCTTATTTTCAATATTTACAGATACATTTTTATTTATTGATGGAATTTTTGACTCTTTAATCGTATAAACACTTTCCTTGTCTGATTTATAGTTTAAAGATCTTTTTTTTCTCAATGGTAGTTGAGGACGATTGGCATCAATATTTTCACGAGTCTTCAGGATTTCGTCATTACAATCTACATCATTTTTTGGGAAATCTTTGGAAGTATTAGGTTTAAGTTTCGAATATATTTTTCCATTCATGAGGTCATTTACTACAAGATTCTTAGAATTGTTTAAAGTTTTTTGAGGCACTAAAGGATTGTCTATAAATTTTTTTACATAATTTGTTTTTTTATTATCCAATGGTACTTCTTTCTTTGATATAACAGACTTTTTCGGTTTATTCACTGTTTCTTGACTTCTTTTTGCAGCTTGAAAAATCTGTTGAATTTTCGAAACTTCTGATCGAATTTTTGAAGAAGTAGATGTTAAAACTGTACTTTTTGGTAACATGTTTCCTTGAAGACTTGATTGTTTCTCGGTAATTTGTTTATTTTTCAACATCTTTGTGCTGGGTCCAGAAGTTTCCTTACTTAATTCCTGTAAATCCTTTAGATTTGCTAACATTGAGTTGGTTGTTTTCTTTTTCATTCTGCTACTTTTATCAAACAACGTGATACTACTCATGGATTTAATTTGAAATTTATTTAACCTCTTGTTTATTCTGTTGGAACGTAATTTTCAAAAGGGATTTTTTCTTAGATTTTGTAGTATTTTAAAAAATTGTTATTTTTCAATAAATAATTCGGTAGATATTTTTCTGTGGTTTACTGTTGACATTATATAGTTAATCTGCAAAAGGAAAAAAAGCAGGTTATTTATTTAAGTAAATTATAATTTAAAATTTTTAATATAATTGTTTGATAGAATATCATAAAATGTGATAAAATTAATACACTTGCTTTGTCAGTTGAGAAGGAGAACTTTTTAGTTTGTTATGGATTTTATTTAATTCTTATTTTTTTGTTTCTATATGTTGTGAATCTTTGTATGTCGAAATTATGATGAAAATTGTATTTTGTTGTATATTTCTATTTAATATTGTGTTTAGAGCTCTTTCATTCTTTACCAGATTCTTGTTTGTATCGCTCAAGTTACTTTATGAATACTAATTGTATGATACACACTTCCAATAATTAAATGTTGGTATTTTCTTTATTTTAAATATTTTAACTTTTTTGATGCATTAGAACTGTATTGCCACTTTAAAAGTACAGTACTATATAAGTAAAAAGCCATTAGGAAATTATTTCCATAATGAACGCTCCTCTAACCGGAAACCCTTCCCAGCTCCAAGTATGATAAATAAATAAATATCTTTGCAGCTAGCCTTAATTACTTTCAAGATGATCATTTTCACACAAGCGTAAATAAAACTGTAATTTATAAAATGTTTGTGGAATATTACATTTTAAAATTTTCTCAATCGCAATGTTATCAAATTAATACCAAATTAAAGAAATTTCTAAATTTCATAATTAAAACTTTAAAAATTAAGTATAGTATCATTACAATTATTGCAGAACCCACTCTAAATTAAAATTTGAATTACAAAGATAGTGAAGGTCAATGATCTTATTAAAAGACAAAGGAATTAAATGTAAACAATAATGATCGATAAAAAATATAATTTTTGGGTGTAAACAGTTTGCAATGAAATAATTAAAAAAAAATCCTAGTTCATTCATTTGATAGGACAATGGTTTAGTCTGAATGACAAAAATAAATTTTTTCTTAATGGAAGTTTTTGAAGAATATTGTTTGTTATAATATTTATAATATTGAAATTATATTTTTAAGGATCTTATAATTAGAATATTTTCTTCTAATGAATTAAATCCTAAATGTTATTACAACTTTTATTATGAATTATAAAAATTTATATAATATGAATAAATTAATACATTAACGATCGAACAAAGAATATTAAATACTTTGATAAAATTTTTTTTAATTGTAAAACAAAATGATTAATCTAAACAACACGTAATAAATTAATAAACACGTAATCTATTAATATAAAACGTAGTTTCTAAATAAATTTTTCTGTTTCTATAAAGAAATACAATTATTCACTTTATAAAAATAAAAATTTTGATAAAATTAAAGACAATATTATACTTTTCAATTTATTGTCACATTAAATTAAACATTTCTAAGATATAAGACTTTTATACAATTTTCAGTGAATGAATAAATTAAAGTTGTTATTTGAAAATTCGCTAATTCAAAAATTCTTTCTTTTTTGTGTACCTGATCATTTTCATCACAGAAAAAGAAGACACTGCAGCGTTAAATGACGTTCATATACAAAAATTTCGTAAGTATAAATAAATATTATTAATGACCATAAACAGAACAGATTTTTTTTTAGATAATTATAAAATTGTAAATGGCGTTAATGTAATCATGAAGCACTACATTGTACTGAGTGCTGAAGGAAGGACAGGTCGCTACAAGTAAAATGTAATCGCATATACAAGCCTACGTTATACACCTCTTCTTTTCCTTTCTATTCTCTGTACAGTATGCTTTATGAATGCATAGCACTATCGAGCATTGCGGATGCCTTATATGTCTTCTAACTCTTGGCGGTTCACACACGTAGCTATATAGCTGCGATATGTCAAAATAAAACATTTTATATTCAATTAAATTTATCTGAATTCAATGTAATTTAAGCTGTTAAATTAATTAATTATTAAAATGTATTTAAAACACTTAACTCAGGTTTTCATCTCATTCACTCTAGAAATTAAAACGTTTTTATTATTAATAATATTATTTATAAATAATTACTGTTCTTTAAACAGTATATTCTTTAGGATTGTGTAGGGCTTACTCTCTACTAGAACTCAGGTAATGTTCAGATCATTAGAATTCTTAAATATGGAAGAAATAAATTTTTAATGACTTTTTACCAAATTTTGATTGTCCGATAGCGTTCGGGTGAGGGTGCTACTACTGAAAAATTGAAATAATATTCTGTATTCTTCAGGATTGTGTAGGGCTCAGTCTCTACTATAGAACTCAGGTGATTTTCAGATTGTCGTCATTGAAACCAACCAACTTTCCGATCTGTATAGGTTGCCGTGAGCATTTGGTTTGCACTTGTTTCGGATGGCTATTGATGCAGGTACTTTTGTCACCGTGACCAAAAATGTTGACAGAAATCATAGCGATTTCCCGGTAAGAAGAGGTTGATTAAAATAGATTAAAATGTTTACACAAAATTTCAAAAATGACATTGGTTTGGAATTAAGAACATTGTGAATTTTGACCATATGTGACTGTCCACGAGAAAACAGGGCTTATAGCTTTCACAGGGCGACTGATTGAAGTAGAAGCAGAACGAAAGAATGCATACAATATAACATCTTTAAAACGTTGTATTGTCAAAAGTAATTGACAATTTACAACTTTTGATTTTTGCATTTGAAAAAGCAATATAATATCTATAGATTAGCATAAAAACTCAAAATTGATTTTTTAGAGCTAAGCCCTGTTTTCTCGTGGACAGTCACATATAATGTTATTACTTTTTCATTTGAAATGAATTAATAAGTGTCAGCAATATTTAAGTCATAAATGGAATTCTAATGATTACAAATTTTATGATATTGAACAGAATTGAATTGTTTTCAATTCTAATTTCCCAATAAGAAGTAAAATGCATACCGAATTAAACATAATATAAATATGTGTGCAGATGAATTATCTTTAAAGGAATTAAAATATGGAACTTCAAAAATGGCTTAAGTTTGGCATTGAAATGATTCAGAATTTAGCGATATTTGTATACATTTTAATCTATTTTAATCAACCTCTTCTTACCGGGAATGATTGCTCGTACTCTGCCCTCTTTACAGTTATCCAAAATTAAAAAATATAATCCAAATTTTACTTTTCTCTTAATTTTATTCATTCTTTTGGTTATAACTTTTGTATTGTTAAATTTAATCGAATCTTTTTAAAATCGATTTTGCTGCCAAAGTGACCATAATTTTTTCCGGCAATATTCATATATTTCAATCAGTTATCAAATCTTGGTGCGCTAATTTTACACACTTAATTCCAGAGAGCTCAATTCCTTCTAGCGCCTGCATAAAAGCAACTTTCTGTTCTTTGGCGCACAATATACCATTTTCGCCCGGACACTAAGCATATGATCTAAGTAAGTAATATGAATTAAAATTTCAATAAGTAATATAATTATTATTAAAATGATGTTAAAGCGTTTTGTGCCTTAAAAATTTTTTTTTATCTTTTCTACTAGTTCCAAAAAAGGCCAATATTTATACTTAAAGGGTGATTTAAATTTAAGTTAAAGTAAGAAAGCTTTATGCGGACTTCTAAAAAATAAGTACCTCTTATTTTTCCATGCTTTAAAATAGAAGACATAAAAAATCTATCTATTTAAAAGATAAAATTAAAAAAGTATCTTGTAGAAAAGAATTTCTAAATTATATAATATTATTCTTTATCGTTTTCATTCCATTGTTCATGCAATATAACAAACACAAAGTGCTTTTAAATATGCGATTACATTCTGTTTCCATTGTCATGTTAAAGTTAAAATTTAAAAATAATAAAAAATTAAATTTTCAAATAAAAGAAAAATTTGAATAAATAAATGAATTGACTTTAAACAAAAAATAACAATGGTATTTTGTAAAAAACGCTAGTTTTAAGTTTTTGAAAATTTTGATTGTTTTACAAAAATATTAGTTAAAATGAATATATACAATGGTTATGTACGTAATAATATGAAACATGTTCTGGCACAAAAATATAACATATTAGTAAATGTTTACGAGAAATGTCAGCCGAGGATATTTTTGGACGTGTTTAAGGCATTCTCAGGGCACGCTCATAATATTTTTAGGACAATCTTGGAAATTTAAGAACATTCTTAAAATGTCTTTTTTGTTAATATTGCAGAAACCTTTCACGAAAAGCTTGGACATTTTCCTATCTTAGAAACTTTGTATGCAAAACCGTTTTAAGTTAAATGTAATAAGAAGTTATCCTAAGTGAGGCATTTACGTCGCATGTTATTCGATTATTTAATTAATTGTAAGTAATGAACGGAATTATAAATCATTCTTACAGATAATAATACTGTACGAATTATTCTAACGGTTTTGCTAACGGGTTAATAGTGTCAATGTCCTTACATACAGTATGCTATTAAAATGCTAGTGCAAATTTAAATACCAAAGAGCTTCTTCTAATTTAGTTTAATATTTGATATGATTATGCATTAAACATTATTTATATTTTTATTGAAACTATCTTATTTTGTAAATTCTATTATTGAAACATTCATATTAATTCTTCTTTACAAGTGATTTACAACCATTGAAAAATGTTTTTTGTGTCCATTTGCAACATACTACTATTTTAAATAATAATATTTCTTTATTCAAAGTTGAAAATTGAATATTGACAAAGAAGATAGAATGGGTGAAAGAAACTACTCAAAAAATCACGCCTGCCAATGAATTCGTCTTGTATTTAATGGCAATGATACCTGAAATTTGCGTATTTTGCAGTACGCTTAAAATCAGTCGTGCGTCAACCGTTCCCTGTGGAAGACATTCTAGTAAAAAGAATATTTAGTAAAAAAAGAACATTTTTATTTTTTTGCAAATAAAAAAAACATGGCAAAACATGTTATTTTTACATTTTTATTAATAGTCGTAGTCGATTTAACATTTTCATTATTTGCATCATCATCATCATCAAATGGTGAGTTTTTAATTTTAATATTTAATATTTAATATTTTTGATAATAATTTTAGTTTACCATATATTTCGGAAAAAATACTAATTTAGAATATGGTAAAAGATATGTTTCTCCGGACAAAAAATATTCCATTAGAAGAAAATTATAAAATTAATTTTCCAGTAAATATGAATTTAATTTTACTCAATAGATTATTTATTTTATAATTAACTTAAATCTCCGAAAATAACAGATTTTGAAACTCAAACTAACGCTTCGTCGACCGCTTCGTGGTCGACTTCGTTGCTTCAAAGTTTTTATTTAACATGTCCATTTATAACAAATTTTTATTGTTTTATATAATTTGTTTAAAATTTTCACTTAGTTTCAATGATATTATAATTATAATTCACTTTTTACATTGTCAATGTTCATTTCCTGTTTCGATATATTCGACCTTTTCTCGCAAAGTCTTTTTAGGAAAGGATAAGAATCATTTAACACAGCCAGTAAATGTAATAAAACTGTAATGTCTTAAAATGATCACATATCAAAAAAACTTTTTCTTACAATCCAAATTTTGATGAAATCTTATTAACTCTAGTCAGTACAACTCAGCTGACTCATACGTACCCGAGTCAAAATTTAGACCCTCTTTTAGTTCTCCAAAAACCTCTTTTTAACCTCTTTTAAGCCTCTTTAACACTTCTAAATCCTCTTTTGAACCTGCAAACTGCACGGAGAAACTTTTTCTTCTAATATTGAATATATTTGGTTATCTTTATTCTAAAAGTACGTTAGAATGTGAGGATTTTTCGTGCGTTGTGCTAATAATTTCAACATTAATACGAAAATATGATAAGTTCGTTATATATTAAGCAACCTTCGGTGTACAAAAATTGCTATCTGCATTAGAAATAGTCTTATTTTTCTTTAGAAAAGAATAAAATGCTAGTTTTTGTTTGTGAAATAATACGGTAATTCTAACCTTTTTTCCACATATAGATAGAATATATAACAGACATTCTAACGTAACATACCAATTTTGGAAGGACTGCGGGCGGACTTAACCGATTTCGCCCGAGCATCACCGAGTCCATCACCTGACGTCGCGAACTAACCCTAATGTTTTCGAAGTTGAAATTCACACGTGTATGAAAGAAAAAAACCTTTTATTAATAAACGTGAATGTCTCCTCATGCCAAATTAAATTCAAGAACTGTTCCTCAATATAACATAATTTTTTTCACGACTTTTACTTATTTACATAATTTGATTAGTAAGTTATTTTAAAAAATGCTCTCTCTCGAAGGCACATATTTTTCCACTCGTTTAATATATAAGGACGATTCAGCTGTGTACTTCTAACGAATCGTGCGATCTTTCGGTTTCCGTGACCAATCGTCGTGTCTTTACTTGCGTGTGCGTGTGTGCGTTAATAATATAGGTTAGGTTCTTACGTCGTGTTAAATATATTTACCTACAGTTACAGTGACATACACTAATGCCATCTACCATCAGATCCAAGTATCACTATCGTCTCTATGAGTATCTATAGACAATTAATTTGTTGTGTTTCTTTTTAATTCATGGCTTTCCCAACTTTGCAAAAATTATTATTTTCTTTCTAAAACAACATACTAATTTTCGTTAGTTTCCTTATGAAGAACTGTAAAATATATACTGAATGAGTGTTTTTGATAGTCTCAATAGCAATTTCTATAACCTATGTCGTTTTTCCCTTGAATCTAACCTAACATACTAAAATGTCTCACCAGTTTTAAGAATTAGTGGTATTAAAAGTTTCTCCGTGTGCTGACATGGATTTTTCCGCACTATTAGAGGTTCAAAAGAGGTTGAAAAGAGAAGTTAGAAGGCTTAAAAGAGGTCCGAAAGAAGATTTTTAAAAATATTACGAAAACTAAAATTGGAATTTTTTTCACAGAGTTATATTTTAATTGCCCTATAGAAGATGCAAATAATAGTTTTTGAATGATTTCAATAAATGTGACGCGACCCGAAGAAAGGTACCTAAGAAGCAAACGAATTATAGGTTGGGTTCGAGTTAGATTTATCTTGATTAAAAGTTCATTTTCAATTATTTGAATTTGAAACCAATTTTCATTAAGGGGACACCTAAGTGAAAAAATGACAAAAAAATCGATTTTTTTAAATTTGATTTTCTAAAAGTAGACTCAATTAGGAATAGAACAAGACTTTTTAAAACCTTTTCTAAAGAGTAGAAAAAATCTGATTACATGATTCTGAATACCATGAGTTTTTAGTATTTTTTCTTTTTTCGTGTCTCCTGTAAAAATTGTTTTTTTCCAATTCCAAAATTTCGGTACACTTTTCTCCGAATCTACTAAACCGATTTGTAATTTTTTTTTTTACTTTGTTCAGTAAGGTTCCAAGAATACGAATAAGAAGTTTAACATCATTTTGAGTTGTACAAACGGAGATATGAGTCAATGAATCAGAGAAAATGGGATTTTTATTTTGCTTTGGGTATAAATATTCATAAAAAAGTTTCTATTGAAGATAACGTCGTATTACTTCTTATTCATATACTTGATTATATTTGTAATCGAATAAAAAAGGGCGAACGCAATTGGAATAATAGTTTTCGAGAAAAGTGTACCGAAAGTTGACTCTTTTTGCATTGTTTTTAGGTGACTTGGGTGTCCCCTTAAATATTTTGAATATAACGAAGACTTGAAGACCAACAATTTTTAATTAATAATTGATTCTCTATCTGTATTTTTACTCAAAAAATTTAAAACATAAGTGCGATTCCATGGGAGATTTTAGTTTTTTCGGAGTAAGTAAACCAATTGCAATGAAATTTTGGAATTTAAATCTACACATAAAAAGACATATTTCCACCAAATATTACGTCAAAATATTCAGTAGTTTTTGAGATGTCAAAATTTTGGAAAAATTTTGAAATCGTTATATCTTCTTTCCATCTTAACCAAATCACTTAATTTTTTTTCGAGAAAATTCAGCATAAAAAAACGAAAAAGTTTTTTAAATTATGTTTATAAAAAATTTTTATAAACAAAAAAGTTATTAAATAATAATTGAATAACTTTTGAATAGCTTCACGGAATTGAATTAAATAAACACTAAAATAATCTTACCTTTGATTTCTTTAAGATTCCAAAAAAAATACCTGGCAACGAGATTGTCTTCATATAATATTTTTAATATTTTTATTCACTTATGAGCGTAAACATTAGAAGTTTCTGCTACTTTACGTGCAAATTTAGGTGCGCGCGCAGACCTCCCTTTCTAATCATCTCCGAATTTCCGGTTTCAGAGAGAGAGGTCTGCGCGCGCACCTAAATTTGCACGTAAAGTAGCAGAAACTTCTAATGTTTACGCTCATAAGTGAATAAAAATATTAAAAATATTATATGAAGACAATCTCGTTGCCAGGTATTTTTTTTGGAATCTTAAAGAAATCAAAGGTAAGTTTATATTAGTGTTTATTTCATTCAATTCCGTGAAGCTATTCAAAAGTTATTCAATTATTATTTAATAACTTTTTTGTTTATAAAAATTTTTTATAAACATAATATAAAAAACTTTTTCGTTTTTTTATGCTGAATTTTCTCCAAAAAAAATTAAGTGATTTGGTTAAGATGGAAAGAAGATATAACGATTTCAAAATTTTTCCAAAATTTTGACATCTCAAAAACTACTGAATATTTTGACGTAATATTTGGTGGAAATATGTCTTTTTATGTGTAGATTTAAATTCCAAAATTTCATTGCAATTGGTTTACTTACTCCGAAAAAACTAAAATCTCCCATGGAATCGCACATAACCTCAAATTTTTTCCTTCTTAGGTACCTTTCTTGGGAACGCGTTAATCTATTAGCATAGATAGAAATTTAAAAAATTTAAATTTCACAAAAATTTAAAATCCTCTTTTCAGCCTCTAAACATCGGAATATGGATTTTGCCGCATCGTTTTTAGGTTCAAAAGAGGTTTAAAAAAGAGGGTCAAAAGAGGGTCTAAATTTTGACTCGGGTATAGAAGTACAACTGATGAAGAAAATTACCAAACAATTTTTCTTTCTAGAATATTGAAAAAAACTTTACTACAGATAATTTTCTTCGTCTTTTAATAAAGGTGAAGATAGGATCTTTTGTTTTTTGATGGGATCAAAAATATGACCAACAAGTTACAAAAGTCAAAAAGTAAAACACGTAACCTTTTTAAATATACCTACACGGAAAGAAAAAGTCCGTCAATCATTAATAGACTAGTATATTACTTTGAGACGGGACACAAAATCATTGAATGCATAACATACTTTGAGTCACAATCAGTGACGAGTTGCTTGCTAAAATTTAGAAAACTGTCATCAATATATAAAACTCGTTCACTAAAATTTAGAAAACTGTCTATTAAATTTTCTATGACTATCAAAAGCATTCAAAAAATTCAACTTCTTTCAGAATTATCCCTAATTTTAGACACTATTTGGTACAGAATGAACACATTTTTTTCGTTGCACAGTTCCGATATTTTATTTACACTCTTAGACGCTTTAGACCAACACATTTTCGCACTTATAATAACTACACGTAGAAACGCACACTTATAACATTTTAAGTTTAGAAGCGAACTGTTCTTATATACCAAATAACAAAATTTTTCACAACTTGTGAGAAATGATTTTGCACTAATAACTACTTTCTAATTAGCGAGAAATATAAAAGAAAATATATTTTCATCGAGGTCAATTTCTAGACGCAATTCAACTGCAAATTATTAGTTAAGTTAAATATTCACATTACACATAATAGTATATAGGGATATGTATAGCAGACAGCAAAAACACATGGACTATAGAGAAACCGGAAGAAATGCGCATCGGTACACTGCGCAACAATGCGCTAGTGAAGAGCGCCGATTTAGAATACGAGTCAACTAACGTTTCACAAACTTTCACTAATGATTCGTAAACATTCAAACAGCCATTGATAACAATTCAGCATTAAATCTAAAACAATTGGTCACATACTGGCATTCTAATCAATCCATGACTCGTTTTCAATCGTTAAGTAAAGTTAAGTAACCATCAACGGAAAAAGAGTCCCGTCTCAAAGTAATATACTAATCCATTAATGGTTGACGGACTTTTTCTTTCCGTGTATGTTCTTCGTTTTAAATTAATTTCAGGAATAAACCTAATTTGGAATGAGGATAAGTCAATAAGCCTACTAAATGTTTTGAGAGAATAATTTATTGAAAAATCAACAAGAAAGAAAAGAATTGACAAAAATACAATGAGTATAATTAAAATTAAAAATCTTACTTTAAGAATAACGATTATTGGTGGTGTATGAACTGGTGATGGTACTCTGATTCTCCAATCTCGAATGGTGTTGAGGGCTTGACGCAATGGGTCCTCCTAAAGTTGTCCTTAATGCCTGGATATTAGTCCTCTTGTTTACACTAATGAGATAGTATAGTGCTTTGTATTTTTAATATATCAAATTTTCTTCACTGTTGGTCGCCTCTTGAACAAATTTCGAAATTTTGAATTTCTTGTTTCAATATAAGATTTTCCTTAAAACTTGGATTTATTTTCAATTTAATATTTTTGGAAAATTATTAAATTGTATTTTTAAAATCGGTGTATTTTATAAGATGTTGAATAGAAGTTGTTACAAAATTAATACTTAGAGATATAATATAATTCACTTGTTAATGAAGTACTTTTAGACGATGTGTTCAGGTTGACTTCTAAAAAATTACTCTCTCTACTTAAACAATGTGCGTAGGTAGGTTGGTTTCCAAATTATTACTCTCGTAATAATTTCGTTCCTATGTTCCTTGATTTGTAAGAAGAAGAAATTATAAAAAGAAATAATCTCTTACCTCAAAAATATTTACTTTTTACATACTTAGCAATGCGCTATTTTTATCATTTTTTATATTAACGATAGTTTATTTTTTAATTAACTAAAATACAATTTTTTTTTCTGTTTTAGACCTTGCAACAATGAATAAACTATTCAAGAATCCAAAAACCGGAAAGTTTATTACTGGAAAGATAGAACAAATTGACAAGTCGGTAAATTCAACTGCTAAATTTTTGCAGCAATATTCATTCCAGGGTGCATCGTGCAACTGTGTAGATTTAGTTTGCAGCTGCTGCATTAACTTAAACCTTGGTTTACTATTGAAAGATAGTAATATGTGCACTAACATTACTTTATTGCCAGCTGAATTTTCCGTTCAAATAGGGGTTTCATTTAATGGAAAATCATTCGTTGTAAAAATCCCCGGTAAGTAATAATATTATGTCTTCCTTATAGATATATAAATATTTTGTCAATACTGTAGCGTAATATTTCTTTAAGACAAACGTAACTAATATTTCTTAATATTACACCTAATAAAATTATTATTTTAGCCAACAATCCTCCAGCAACATGCATACCTGTTCCATCCATACCAATTTTAAATGTTTGTCTTCGTGTAAAAGATCTTCAGTTTCAAAATTCCACGTTCCATGGATGCCTTGACTTGGAAGCAAAGTTGACTCAGCTTTCACTATTAGTGTTACATTTTGATTGTATTAATATAAATGCTAATGGAGTAGAAACATCAAAACCAAAAACCAATAGCACAGAAAAGAAACAATTATTGCCATCATTGATACAACTTGATGTGCCTTCAAATTTCTCTCTTAAACTGAATGAATGATTGTAATTTTTAAAAAAGAAAGGAAGCATTAAATCAAGAATGCAAATCAACTTTACATATTAATCGAAGTAAATAAATGAAGTATATTAAATTATTAACTAAGTACTTTTAAATATTCGACACGAAAAATGATTGGTAGAAGAAAATTAAGAAAGTTGAATAAAATATGAATTACAAAGTGTTATTTTCATCTTCTGTAAAAGACTTTTCATTATTCAAAATAAATATGTTTTTTGAAACAAGCATATTAGACTATCTTTTTATAAGCATTGTATCTTGAGAGTATATAATTAAAGAGTATCCAAGGTTAAGATGGGTAAAATGCCCTAATGTCTCGATTTTTTAATTGACCAGGAAAAAAATGTTTTGTTCGATTCCAAAAAAAGTTTTTAAATTCCCTGGAAAAGTGTAAAACAATAATCAAAATATAATATGCTTTATTATGAACAAACAATTTTGGTAATTTGATTTAATTCAAAATAATGTAATTATTATAAAAGTACATACATATATTACAGAATGTAAATAAATAAATAAATAAAGATAAAATATACAAGAGTTTAAAACTTTCAATGGAATATAAACTGCAAAAATTCTTGACTACGTTTCGGTACAACCAGTATAATAATCAGAAATCAAAAGATATCATCTTCATCATCATCATCATCATCATCGTCACCATCATCATCGCCATCATCATCGTCATCATCATAATCTTCGTCACTATAGTCGTCTCCTCCACTAATTCCATCGGGTAGAAGAACAACTTGACCAAGTCCACCACCATCTTCGGGTTTTACGAAAGCTAGACCTTTTGTGCCGAATCTCATGCAATCTAATTCCACCTACAAATAATTATTTTTTTAATTATGATGAATTCTCCACAAATTTTGAATACTTTATGCAGACCAATCGATTGGTCTTGAACTATATTTTATTTATAGTAACCTAATTCTGTATAAAGAAGCTTAACTGGGTCGGCAAACCATGAATGACAAAACGTTGCATTGTAACGAAAAACTCTTGAAAAAATATAATTTGCTTTTTACCTTAAATAACGTTGTATCACGAAATTTGCCCTCCATGTTCATACAAGCATGGACATTTCTTCCTTGAAAATAAATGTTATAAAATCGTAGGCATGCCCTCACTGTTGGAAATCTAGGAACAGGAACACAAACTGGTCTTGGATTTTTTCCTGGAAGCATAACAATTTCAATGAATGTCTCTTATTTTTAATTACAGGTTTTTTAAAAGAATGTAAAAGGATCTAAATTGAATATTTTTTATTATTTATTACCCCCTGGAGAGGGGTCGTCCCCTTAATTTCATAAAAATTATATTAATTTTACATATAATTATATCGTCCACCATATTAGATCCACCACTTTAAATTTTCAAAATCTGCCTTCTGATTTGTAAAAAAAACACCCAAAAAAACCTCAAGTAACAAATTTCTTAAAAATTGCACTAATTTTATTAAACATATTGTCCAACATGTTCGCCACATAAAAATAAAGTTTGTAACAACCCACATAGCACAATAGTATGAGGTAAGGTTATGTTGAATACTTATCGTAAGGCACATAAGGTTACACGATATTGCTGTGGTAGACCTAAGGTGAACTAAAAACTTCCGCCATGGAGGTGAGGTTACATGTTAGGGTGTGGTGACTATATATGATAAGGCCATGGTAACCTTACACGTTAAGGTTGAGGTAACGTTACATGTTAAGGTTGAGGTAAGGTTACATGTTAAGGTTGAGGTAACGTTACATGTTAAGGTTGAGGTAACGTTACATGTTAAGGTTGAGGTAAGGTTACATGTCAAGGCTGAGGTAAGGTAATTATTAAGTTGTAAGGTTGAGGTAAGGTTGTGATAAGTTTACCAGTTATAGAAAATATTGAAAAAATAATTAATAAATAAATATTCAATTAAAATGTTAAGTTTGTTGCTCTTCTCTATTTTGGAAACCTGACATGAAGCAGAAAATTTTGAAAACAAATTTGGGGGGACTGGGATTTGAACCCGAGATCGACGCGCATAAACCTATCATTCTAACTAACTGAGCTAAGTAGAGAACTGGCAGAAGAAAAATTAATGTTGCCTTTAAGGTGAACCAAGAAGATGATTAACTCCTTAAAGGCAACATTAATTTTCCTTCTGCCAGTTCTCTACTTAGCTCAGTTAGTTAGAATGATAGGTTTATGCGCGCCGATCCCGGGTTCGAATCCCAGTCCCCCCAAATTTGTTTTCAAAATTTTCTGCTTCATGTCAGGTTTCCAAAATAGAGAAGAGCAACAAACTTAACATTTTAATTGAATATTTATTTATTAATTATTTTTTCAATATTTTCTATAACTGGTAAACTTATCACAACCTTACCTCAACCTTACAACTTAATAATTACCTTACCTCAGCCTTGACATGTAACCTTACCTCAACCTTAACATGTAACGTTACCTCAACCTTAACATGTAACCTTACCTCAACCTTAACATGTAACGTTACCTCAACCTTAACGTGTAAGGTTACCATGGCCTTATCATATATAGTCACCACACCCTAACATGTAACCTTACCTCCATGGCGGAAGTTTTTAGTTCACCTCAGGTCTACCACAGCAATATCGTGTAACCTTATGAGCCTTACGATTAGTACTCAACATAACCTTACCTCATACTATTGTGCTATGTGGGAAATATTTTAATCTTTAATTATAAATCAGAAACCATAAATATTAAAATGATATAATAAATTAAAGTAACATTGTACCAAATTAACGTTTTCAAGAATTGAGAAATATTTAAAATTCAATATTTTTTAAACTTTGAATTTTCTATAACTTATTTTAAAACTGTGTTCAAATGTAACACAATTATTAAATAAATTAATACGTATAGGTATACTGGGGGTCGATTACATAACTTGTTCCGTATTCCACATTCCATATTTTAATTCCATAATTCATATTCCACATTCCGTATTACACAATCTAGATTTCACATTCCGTATTTTACATTTCATTTTATTTTAAATTCCATATTTCGAATTTCAATGTCTAGATTCTACATTCCGTATTCCAGATTTAAAATTCCTTATTCAACATTTCAAATTCCACGAGTCAGATTCCTATTCAGAATTTCATGTTCCACATTCTGAATGTAAATATCCAGATTCTACTTTCTGTATTCCACAATTCGAATTCCGGATTTCACATTCCGAATTTCTCATTTCAAATTCCACACAGCGGATTGCATCTTCAAGATTCCAAATTCCGGATTCCACATTTCGTATTACACAATCTAGATTGTACATTCTGCATTCCACAATCAGAATTTTACATTTCAAATTCCACATCTCAGATTCCAATTCCAGATTTTACATTACATATTCAACATTCCTGATTACACATTTTATATTTAACATTCCGGATTCCACATTTCATATTCCATATTTAACAATCTGGATTACACTTTTCATACACTGAGAAAACTGGATAGTCAAACAATTAGAGGGTTTGGTTTTGAGTGTTAAGCCTGATTCTCTGGATAGTTAACTTTTCCTTCCGAGTTAGTCAAATTCATAATCGGAGTGTCTATTTATCCCTCAGAGATGGTTACGAAAAACTTAACCTCAAATATAGTCTGTTTGTCCCTCCAGATAGTTAGTTGAATATTCTATTTTTCTCCGTGTATTTAACATTTTGGATATCACATTTCATACTCCATATTCCAGATTCCACATTTCATATTCCACATTCCGGATTTTGAAATGTAGAATCCGGAATGTGAAATGCGGAATATGATTTGTGGAATCTGGAATGTAAAACGTGGAATATAAAATTTGGAATTCTGATTGTGAAATATGAAATGTGGATTGCGTAATTTGAAATGTGAAATCCGGGATGTGACATTTGGAATTTGGAATATGAAGGATGCAACATGAAATATAGAATGTAGAATGTGAAATTTAAAATGTGGAATCCGGAATGTGAAATGCAGAATATGAAATATGGAATCCGGAATTGGAATCTGACATGTGGAATTGGAAATGTTGAATCTGGAATGTAAAATTTAGATTGCGAAATACGGAATTTGAAATATGGAATTGGATTATAAAATGTAGAATATGATATATGGAATCCGGAATAAATTATGTAATCGACCCTCTGCACAGTAACAATTTATAAAAAAAATTATTTCAAAATTTTTTTATTTTTAACTTTTTTAAATTAGTGCCAAGTCTTCTATTCTAATAAATATGTTTTTGTATAGTAAATTTATGACTCTAAAACAAAACATTTTTATTGTTGACCTAGAAAACACCCTTATTAAATATATAGATACTTTTTTAAAAAAAGAGAGAACGAAATTTGATTTAAACTGTATTTAGAAATGTTATCATAAACTCTCTAAATCTGAAATAGCGATAAGTATATACAACTGATTCCAATTAGTGTTTATACACTGTAAAAAAAGGGAGTTAAATTTTAACTCCGCAAGGGATTCTATAAAAGTCGTACCCATTTGGGAGTTATGAAGCGAAGGGAGTTAAAAGAACGACGCTGAAAAATGGTCAAAATTTGCCCCCGAAGGGGATTGTAAAAGAAGTATATGTTTTTATAGATTTTGACCTGCTGAATCCGAAAATCACCCTTAGAAAGTTCTAAACCTTGGGGAAAAGGATGAAAAACCACCATTAACTCAGAGACACCGTTTTCAATAAAAAACAGTAAAATATGATAAAATTATATAAATAAGAAATGTTTACACTGTAATTTAATAAATGAAGGTAATAATAATAACAACCGCATAATTTAAATCACGATTACGACCCTTGCAGTTTAAAAAACTACCCCCTCATACACCAACACTTATGCCAAAATCCCAAAAAGTTATAAAACGTCAATATATTGATACATAACAAAGCAATAATTAATCCTTTAAAAATAAACAACGTTTACCACTACTGTAGAAATATCGGCCAATAACCCAATAACAAATAAGCAACTATTGTTACATCTACCATTAACTCAACAACCCTTAATCATGATCAGAGACTACCCCTATATCATCCCTCAAAAATTACCTCCGAAGTTACAAATTAAAAAAAAAAATTTCACTGATCAATTAGCGTATATATACGCTTTTTGGAATAAGTTGTATACTTATCGCTGAGAATTAGTGAAACTTCGCTAATTTAGACTTAGAGAGAACAGAATCTCCAATAGCAAAATTGCAGTACTGGCTCGGTACTGATTTGCCATTGCTGAGAAAAATAATTGCATAATATTTTCTTTATTGTACTTTTGGAACCTTTATTAAAAAATATGAAATAATTTAGGATAATGATGTGACACAAAGTAATTTTTAAAGATATAAAATCTGTATCTTTCGAAAAAATTTACTCTTTTAAAATAATTACCAGATACGGTCCTCGTGTATAAAAGTATGTCATTCATCAACACTTTCGCTGTGAAACTAAACTCATCAGGATCGTAACTAACTCTTACACAGGCCGTTTGTTTCCATACATTGAATAAGAGTCGGGAACAACATCCACATACACCGCCACCACAATTACAAGGTCCTTGCTTAGTTGCTGATATTTGACTTGTAGATACAACAGAAGAATTTGATACTACCGGCTTATTTGCATTAATTTGTTTCACGTAATCTTTCTTCTTAATAACTTTTGCATAGTGACAACTACTTAATTTTCTTTTTGAATTATGTTTAAGTTTTCCATAAGTATATTGTTCACTGAAACAAACAATTACTATGAAAATAATAATAAAAATTTGTTTCATAGCTAACTTCATTTAAATTTTGTCACACAACTATATCCAATGGCACATGTTCTCAACTGATGATGCGCACTAACGAACGATTGACATTCAACTGTCCAGTTAACGGATTCCTCATGTGTGACCTATTTTAACGGTGAAATGTACCTTTGGTTTACTTTTTTTTATGTATATAATTAATCATGAAATGTACTGTGAACTAATGACTTAGAATAATGCTAGAACATATCCTGCTGCAAGTTTCAAATCTGACGAGAATATGAATTGTTTCAAGTATCAAATTAGAACTAGACTGCTTTATTAATTTTAAAAATGTCACACTGATAAACCCATCTGGGAGAAAATAAAAATTTTTCCTCAATTAAAGAACTGGCTCTGGTTTAATGAATTTCAGTTATGGCCCACGTTCAATGGCCCCGACTGAGCTGTAGGTCAGATGGGATTGACACAAACAAAATAATATAAAAAAATTTAATTTGAACCCCTTTGCGATCATATAAGGGTTGTAGAAGTCCCTGATTTTGATTTCATCTGAATTTTTCGCCAGTATTTGAAAATTTAGAAGGGCACATCAAATACAGAGACAACAAATCTTATGAAGCATTAGGAGAAGTTTTTATAACTTTAGGTCGCTACAAATTTTGATCCCTACTCTCTAAATCTGAATTATAGCGAAATTTACAAAAACTCCAATATCTCGAGACCTATAGTAGTCTCCTAAAATTTTTTTAAAATTAAAGGTAAACTCATAAGGAATCCAAATATTGTAATGAAATGTCAGTCAGAGAGAAATAATGAAAATAAAAATTGATTGAATTTTTTTTTAATTTTTCTATATGAAAATTTTTTTTTTTATGAATTCTATTTTCATTTTGAAGAATTTATTTTTACCTAAAACATGTGTTAGTTTTATTAAAATCCATAAATAATGTTCCAAAATACTAAAACTTTTATAATATTAACATTAAAATTCAAAGTAGCGTATCTTCTGTAATTGTGAATTTTTTTAATGTAAGTTGGGGGAAAGAAGTATATAGAATTATGATTCTACGAAGTTTAACAAAAATCAGTCTAACCTTTGCAAATAGAGATATTTTTGACGTGAAAAGGCCCAAAAAAATGCCAATTTTGAAATCTCGAGAAAATGTTAGCTTAATTAAAGATTCTCGACAATTTCATGGAAAGTTTGTGACAAACTTTTACGAATTTGAAAGTTTGAATTAAATTCTGGCGCGAGGGAATAAATTATCTGATTTTCCCGATCCGCTGCAGTGATAAATTTAAAAAGTCAAACATTCCTTCATTTATTTTCTTGGAAACAAAATAATGTTGTTCAAAATTTTGAACGCTGCGCTTATAGAACGTATAGATATATGGCTTCGTATACGCACTGTAAAAAATAAGTTTTGTTTTACGCCTGATTTTGACAAAATATTAACTAAATTTTTTATTAGAAAATTGATTTTAAAACCGGTAATTGTCTTATTTTTATTTGAAGACTTATTTTCTATTATTTTATAACAAATGAGTCAGTCCAGCTCAACTGTGTCAAAAAAAATTTCATTTATTTTCTAAAATGTTAAAACTTTTATGAATATCTATAGTTCACAACAATAAAACAAAAAAACAATTTTTTGAAATTTAAAATTTTTGTTACCTTTTTTGCATTAACAAAATATTACAAAATTTTTTAAAAAATGAATAACTCCAAAGCCGCGTTTACAATAAATTAATAAAATTTACACTGATTACACAAAATTGTTTACTCTTTTCAAAGAAAATAATTGCATGATTGTAAATTTAAAAATTCCATATTTTTAATAATAATTTTATAAACAATTTGAATTAATTATGTGTTCTACCCGTCCAATTGCAATTAAACTCATAAGAAGTGTCCTCGGTAGTCTTTTCTTGAAGTCCCCAAAAAAAATTTTGTTATTTTCAATTTGGAATGTACATAACGAATTTTTTATTGTAACGCGCGCCAACGATCACCGCCAAAAATACGGGCGGTTTATAAAAATTGTTATTCGAAATATGGAGTTTTTAAATTTTTCATAAATTCCATTTATTTTCATTAAAAAGAGTGAACAATTTTGTGTAATCATAGTGTAAATTTTATTAATTTATTGTAAACGCGGTTTTGGAGTTATTAATTTTTTTTTTAAATGTTGTAATATTTTGTTAATGCAAAAAAACTGACAAAAATTTAAAATTTTAAAAAACGTTTAAATTAAAAGTGTTTTTTTGTTTTGTTGTGAACTACAGATTTTCATAAAAGTTTTATCATTTTAGAAAATCAATGAAATTTTTTTTGACACAGTTGAACTGGACTGACCCAATAAAAACAATTTTGGCTATAAAATGACATATTTAACCCTAGAAGGAGTTCAAGGTAATATTCAAGGTTCCTCTGGCTTAACCAATAATTTTTTTACGATCAAAACCCGTTGATAATTTAGTTTGAACCTCTATCTTTTGACACAATATAAGTAAATTCAAATTTTTTTTAAAATTCGTTTTCAATCAGTTAAAATCATCTGATAAAGTATAAATTAATAGGTTAGGCATGAAAAAGTTGTATTTTATAAAAGAGAAACATTTTTATACAAAAATTCTATTTTTATGAAAAATAGACATTCTGTATTTGTAACAACTTATGAAATTTGAGTTAAGATTCATTAAAAATTTCTATGCTCTCCCTACAGTCAGAGATTAAATTCTAATACAAAAAATGTGGTAAATGACAGTCAAATTTAAATTATAAATTCTATATTGTTAATAATATTTCAACATATATTAGAGGTATTTAAAATTGTTAATTAAAACTTTGATTGAATATTAATTTACAGAATCACTTCATAAGTTATAAATTTTAATGTTAATATATTCAGATATATTATAAGTTTGTAAAATTTTAAATTTATAACACCATTTCTAGTAAATATTAATTGTTTAAGTCCATTTTATAGTTCATTTTTATGATTTCCACTATTCGACAATTTTGTCTTAAATTTCTTTCACTTCAGATGTTCAAATAATTATGTTTTTTGGAAGTAATACAAAAACTAATTTTTTTCCCTAAACGTGTATCTAGTTAACTTTAAAAACCTAAAATAGTTTTTAAATTAGTCAAATTTTTAAGAAACTACAGCGTTTTTTGTGAAAAAAGTCAATTTTTGGTGTTTTTTTTGGGTTTTACGGTTTTTTTTTAAATTTTTTTAATTTATCAAAATATGAATAATATTATTGTATTCCTTACTAAAAAATCAATCAAATTCACTAATATACATAATTTTTTTTACGTCAAATAGAAACCTTATAAAACAAGTTTAAGGGTTCATAATATCACCACAAATATTAATGCTATAAACTTTGAACTTTTTCCATTTCTGACAATAAAATTGATTTTATTTTAAATAACATTCTGTTGGATCTAACCAATCACTATTAACCCATAGAGAATTTGGAGCGAGTGACGAAAACAAATGATTGTTGTTTCCAACTCTTGTTTGTTTACAAATTCATAACCATAAAATAGTGTTATTTTGAAAAGTGACATTGTGACATTTAATCAACAAGTTTAATTTGAAAATATATAATTGTTAATTAATTTGGTTAAATCATTAAATAATTATTATTTTAACTATAGTTTTAATAAAATAAATTATTTAATATTTAAACTTCTTGATACAGTTAGAAAAAAACAACATTGAATTTGTTTTGGTGATACATTCAAGTAAGCGTTTAACCTTTAATAATACTTGCCCTCGTTTTCCAGGTAAAAATAGTTATTTTCGTAACAAGGGCGCAAAATAGGTGATTGCGACGATGGCGAAATGAAGGGACCGAGGGGACACAATTTCGCGCCCGAGGCGAAGCCGAGGGAGCGAAAGTGTCCCCGAGGTCCCGAAATTTCGCCAAAGTCGTAATCACCTTTGCGCCCATGATGCGAACATAATTTTTTGTCCTAACTGCATGGAAAGTATGGCATTGAGGGCACGCACGATTAAACACTCATATTAGTTAAAAATTAAGCTCTATATAAACATTATATCGAATGAAGTCTTATAATGATAGAAGTTTTAAAATAGAAATAAAAAAATAATGTATTCTGGAAACATAGTATTTATTTAGAACGTAGTAATTAATAATTAAACAAAACTGAAACAAGAACTTTTAAAATTGACATTTTTGATAAACGAAATGGGAACAAAACCAAATGTCTCATAAGTTTTTTTAGAGAAAATAAAAAAAACTTGCAAATTTTTAAAGGTAAAATAAAACAAGTTCAAAATATTTGCAGTTCTATAGTCAACTTAAAAAGAAAGTCGAAAATGTCGCATTTTAATGAAGAAAATCGAATAATTAACAAGCGGGCGCAAAATACTTTTCCGCCCGCTCGGTGGTAGGGGAAGCGGGCGGAAAATACTTTACCGCCCGCTGACGTCATACAAGCGGGCGCAAAATACTTTTCCGCCCGCTTCCCCCACTCCCGGGCGTAATGTGTTACTTTGCGCCCGCCTTAAGTGCCCGAAATGACATACTTTCCGTGCAGGTAGGACAAAAAATTATTTTTTCATTAGTATTTAAAAATAGGGTAAAGTTCGTTAACGGTAAAATGTAATAGAATAGTAATTACTAAATTGACTTGATAATATATATTATGAAATTAATTTACTATTTTATCTTATGCATAAGATTCGATCGTTTTTCGTAGAAAAAGGATCTTCACGACATGTCTTTATGTAGACAGGTTGCCTACATAAAGGGATAACACTATGATAAAGTAGGAAAGTAGATAAGCATGAGAAGTAATAGAAATATTTTTTGTTATAATATCTGATAATATTATAATGAAAATATGAAAAAAATCATGAATAGAAGAATTTTATTTTATAAAAATTTCTGAAATAAAATAAATTTTTATAAAATATAAAAAATGTTGAATTATTCTGCAGACAATTTTAAAAAAATTTATTGGTTGAAAAATGACAATTTTTTTAATTCTTATAAATAACTACATTAATTGTTATTTTTCAATCAGTAATTAGATAATTATTCAAGATAATAAGTACCATAATTATCTTTAGATAAAATTTAATTTATTT